AAGAGGCAGAGATAACAATCTTAAATATATATGCACCAAATTCCAGAGCACCCAGTTATATGAAGCAAGTACTAATAGAAATGAAAAATCAAATAAGCAATAACACAATTATAACAGGAGACCTTAACACACCATTGACACCAAAGGACAGATCAACCAAACAGGAAATCAGCAAAGAAATAACAGAACTGAATCACACCTGTGAACAAATGGATTTGATAGACATATACAGAGTGTTCCATCCAACAACATCAGAATATACATTCTTCTCAGCAGTACATGGGACATTCTCTAAAATAGACCATATACTAGCCCACAGAACATATTTAAATAAATGAAAAAGAGTTGAAATTATCCCATGCATGATATCAGATCATAGTGCCATGAAACTAGAAATTAATGATAAAAGAAACTTCAAAAATCCCACAAACACATGGAAATTGAATAATATTCTCTTGAGCAATCAGTGGGTCACAGTGGAAATTAAAGAAGAAATTAAACAATACCTACAAGCAAATGAAAATACAAATACAACTTATCAGAATCTGTGGGATGCAATGAAAGCATTCCTCAGGGGAAAATTTATCACACTAAGTTCCCACATCAGGAAAACAGAATGAATACAAATCAATAACCTGATGCTACATCTCAAACAGCTAGAAAAAGAAGAGCAAGTCAAGCTCAAAGCCAAAAGAAGGGAGGAAATCATAAAAGCAGAGTAGAAGTTAATGCAATAGAGATTAAGAAAACAATCCAAAAAATCAATGAATCAAAGAGTTGGTTCTTTGAAAGAATAAATAAAATTGATAAGCACCTACCCAACCTTATTAAGAAAATCAACAGAGCCAAGGACAAAAATCATATGATCATCTCAAGAGATGCAGAAAAAGTGTCTGACAATTTCCAACACCCATTCATGATAAAAACTATTCAAAAAATTGGAATAGATGGTCTATATTCCTGTTATGACTTGTGTTTGGATGACTCCCCCCACCCCAAGCCTCATACAATCATGGAGGCAGCTGAATCTCGCATTTGTGATTGGTTCATCATCCAGTGCTGGGATTGATAGTGTGAGTGCCACTCCTGCCCAGGGTTGGGGAACCAGCATACAGTGCAAGAGAGGGAAGGAGGCATGCTTTCCCCCTTTTTGCCCTTTCACTCTTATTGCTTGTGGCTGCCATGAACAATTGGTTGCCCCTCAGCCAAACCACCCTGCCTTTGAGCCAGCTAAGAATGGACTGAAACCTCCAAAACACCGCAAGCTAAATAAACCTTCCCTTCCCTAGTTTTGTGCATCAGGTATTTTGTCTCAGAAATGACAGGAAAGTAACCAAGACAATTCCAATCTGATAAAAACCTTCTATGACAAACCAACAGCCAACATCCTATTAAATGATAAAAACTGAAAGTTTTCACTCTAAAATTAATAACAAGACAAGGGTGTCCACTGTCACCCCTGCTGTTCAATATAGTTCTGGAAGCATTAACTAATGCAATTAGGCAAGAGAAGGAACTAAAAGGAATAAAAATAGTAAAGCAAGAAGCTGAACTAGTCTTATTTGCAGATGATGTGATACTCTAATAGGAAGCCTAAAAATTCTACCAAAAGCTTGTAGATTTACTAACCAAATTCAGTTGCGTAGCTGAATATAAAGTCAACATTCAAAAATCGATAGCATTCCTGTACACAAATAAAAAAAATGAGTGAGAAAGAAATTAGAGCAACCACACCTTTTCCAACAGCATAACCAAAAAAAAGAAAGGAACACTTTGAACTCTAAGGAAGGAAGTAAAAGAACTCTACATTGAAAACTACAGTACCTTGAAAAAGGAGATGAAAGAGGATATCAGAAAACAGAATGATACCCTTTGCTCTTGGATAGGAAGAACCAGCATAGTAAAAATCGCCATACTCTCAAAACTGTTACACAGATTGCAATCTGAATCAAAATATCATTAGCATACCTCACAAAACTAGAGAAAACATTCCTAAAATACATTTGAAATAGAAGAGACCTAGAATAACAAAAACAGTTGTTCACTTAAGTTGTCTTAACTATCCTCGGTCCTTTGTATTTTGATACTAATTTTATAATCAGTTCATTAATTACAACAAAAATGGTGATTTTTATATGGAAATTTATTGTCTAATTCTCAAACTTAATATAACTCTATGTACTTATATCTTTACTATGTCTTAGCGTTAATGCGTACTTTTCAGCTTAAATATTTTTTTTCACAATTAGATTGTAAGAATTATTTTTGATGTTATTATAAAAAGTAATTAATTTTCAGATTGCTTGTTACTAGTATATACAAGCACAACTTATTTTTATAATGACATAGTATCCGGCAACCTTAATGTATTCATTCATCAACTGTTATAATTTGTTTAAAAATTCTTTCAGATGCTTAGTGTATGTAACCAAATTATTTATACACAGTTATAAATTTTACAGTTATTAAAATCTTCATCTCTTTGTCTTGCTTGATTGTAATGATTACAACTCCAGTCCCAGACTGACACGTATTAGTAGTAAGTGCTGACATTCTTGCTTTGTTTTTGACCTCAAATTTTGACTTTAATATTTCATCAGTAAATATGATATGAACAGAAGGATATTTCTATCTAGTCACAGCGTGCCAATAGTTTACTTTTTAAAAATCATGTAGTAGTACTAAGTGTTATCTGTCTTCTTTGATATCTAATGAGCTGACCTTCTGATTTTCCTCCTGGAAAAAGTATGTAGTGTGTCGTTTGTTATCCAGGTTAACAGTCTTTGTTTTCAGGTGTAATATTAAGAGCATTTATATTTAATGTAGTTTCTCACATAGCTGGGTTAAATTTATTATGTTACTCTTCATTCCCATTTATTCTCTCTGTTTATTTTGTTCACTGAACACTGTGTCACAGAGTGCCCCAGGTTTCTGTATTAACATCGTACATTTGCTTTCAAAGGCACTATCACAGTTCATTGTTTTGATGTTTTATAACCCACTGAGCTATTAGCTATCATTTAATTCTCCCAATTACAGACAATGCTGCACTGAAGGCTTTGTAGTCATCACTTTTTCTTTTATGTGTTATTTAATTAGAGTGTATTTCCAAGTGAGGAATTAAATGAGTCAAGGGATAGAAACATATTCATAATTCTTGATATCATTTGTAGGCTTATTTTCCCTAAAGAAGTATTCTAATTCAAAAGGTTTTAGCAATGTGAACCTATAATAATTTCATTTCAGTCTTGCTAAGTGTCGTGAATTATTTTTGAAAAAAATTAAGTCATATAGCAATGAAGAGGTACCAGAATCATGATTACCAGTGCCACGCTGTGTGTAAACACACAGAAAAAAAAGGGTTTGCTAATACACTGATTTCAGCCACAAAGCTATTTTAAAATTTCAAGTTGTTCTGCTTATTTTGCACATACTTGGGCTTTGGCAATAACCCCTCTTAAGCAATCAAAGAATATGTATTTATCATATAGTATGTGAATTGGCATATGTTTTATTTGAGTATAATAAAACTACAATTCACAAATAAAATTAAGGTTTCTAGAAGCATAGGGAACATAGGAAGTGAAGAGGAAGATGCAGTTGAAAATATGCTTAGAAGCACAGTGAATAATAGTTTCTGAATTGAATTTCCAATTTGCATGAGTGATCTCAACACAGAGTGACTGCATCGCTAAGTTTAATGAATATTTTTCCCAGATTAGTGACATTGTTGAGCACCCGTGGAAAGGAGCTCTCATGATCGTAATTACTTTTTCAGCACGTTTCAGCTTTATTTGAGCACAAACTACCCTGTAAGGTATGCATTTCTAGTTGTTTCTGTAGAGGATTAAAATGGGATCTTTTAGAGGTGAAATGGGTTCCCCGAGGTCACATAGCTGAAGCAGAACAGAGCAGGGACTTCAGCCCACAGCTTCTGTTTCTTAAGCATCTGGCCTTCCCAGCAGACTTCAGGGCTACTTTCAACAACTGTTATTATGATCTTCATCTACCGTGGAGTTACTAGGAAAAGCTAATGAAAGCACCACACTGAAGACAGAAACTTTTCCAAAGAGCTCTGCTATGCCACAGTGTGTTCTAGACTAGCATGAAATTCAAGAAGTTTCCTCATCAAAAGTGTGATAGAAACGCAATAAAAATCTGTTTCCATGATATTACAGCTCTGTAATTTAGACAGGGGAGTTAAGAATCAGAAAGAAGAAAAAAAAAGTGAGAACTCAAGTAATATAAAAACCTCATCCACAGCCAACATCTCTCAGGGGTTTCAACCACACTAACATCTTAAATTTTGAAACTTACAAAACAGTGTTATAAAACTGCATTGTAGAAATTAGAAACGAGAAACTGTCTTTAAATAACAAAATCTATTTTCCCCTAAAATCGTATCTCAAGTCTCCTCACCTTATGACAAATATTTACTAACTTCTACAAAAAATGTACAAATATTGCAGCATCTTACTCTCAGGGTAAATAAATATGTGTTTTGAAAGTCTTTAATGTTCAAACGTAATATCTTAATTCCCATCACGCTATTTAGAATTTCATTCATTAATAATCATGTTTATAAAACAAATCTAAATCTGGATAAGGATAAATATTATGTGGATCCACTCTGCCATAAACTTGTCATCTTTCTTGAATAATAATATAAACAAAATTTAAAATATCTTATATTTTAAAAGTTTGGTGCAAACCATGAGATGTTTTATAAAAATCCAAGGTGCCTCCTATGAATACATAGATAGAAAAAGATCTGTCTCTTGCTTCTCTTGTAATGTTTTCATTTCACAAATCAAGGGAATAAAAGGCATCTTTCTTTGTTTATTGTACCAGCTGACAATTGCAAGCAGCCAACCTGACGACCATATGATGCCACATTTATTTCCCAACCATCACCCATGGTTCTAAAATTTGTATCTTTTAAAACAAAATTACGTGTTTATATGAAAATAGTAAAATAGAATGTGTTAATTACTGTCCAGGAGGTGTTCGGATACCACACCCAGACTCTGCGGAGAGCCGTGTGTCTTGTCCTCTCTGTGCTGACCGCTGGGGTCCTTCAGCTGGTTTTCTACTGGAGGCCCGAGTTGAGGGTGTGGGCCAACTGTTCCCCGTGCCCTTTGCAAGAGGCGGACACTGTTTTGCTGAGGACTACGGTATGTGCCCTTTTGTTACCTGTTTCAAATGACATGATAATCACAGACAGATGTTGCATGCTGTCACTTACGTGGAACTGTGAAACTTACAGAAGTATATCTTATGGAAGCAGTAAGTAGAATAATGTCACAAAGAAATGATAAATATCTGAAGTGGATGAACAGACGGATTGCGCTACTGTGATCATTACCCGTGGTGTATGTGCATTGGACTCTCACTGCACTCCTTACCCACGTGCAATTACTATGTGGCAGTTAAAAATAAAAACATGTTTAAAAAAAAGAAATGAAAAGTTACAGTCATATCTTCTCCATTGCATCAGTGGCCTCCGCAGTGATGAGCCAGCATCTCTGAGAATTTTCCTAGGTCCCAAAAGGAGACGGAAAAACTATCACTGCAACAAGCATGCTGTTTCTTTTTGAGCCCAGGAATGAAGGACACTTTTCTCACTTCAGCCCAGGGAAGTTTCTAGCATGTCAGACAGTGCTGCTGGTCATTCCACGGGCAACAGGTGTCAGCCGACTCTTACACTGTAACATAGGAATGATTACTCACTTTTTCAAAAGTCTGTATTTTGGAAGAGGATTCAAAAATAGCTGGAAACCCTTTTCTAGACGTAAAGCTTTCTTACAAACTATTTTTCCTTAATGAGTCTGTAGTCCAGTGATACTCACTGCAGCAAATCTGAATCCCCTGGACTGAAACGCTGACTGAGACTTGCTTCAGTAGGTCTGGGGTGAGGCTGAGAATCTGCATTTCTAGTGAGTTCTAACGCTGATTTCTTGTTTGCTTTTGTTCCAAACGTTGAGAACCGCTCCCCATCTAGCCTGTGATAAGTATCTTGTTCTCTGAGCACCTCATGAAATGACACTTGAAAATCTCACAAGCTGGTCTGACTTTTTCAGGACGAATTTCAAAGATATATGAGGAAGAAGGTGCTCTGTCTCCACTTATCCACACTGAAGTTCCCTATCAGCAAGAACCCAGAAGATGCCCTTGTGGCTGACTGCCACTCTGTCATAAACCGAGCCGTAATGAAGCCAGAATTAAAAGTAAGTGACTTTAAGAGAGACTTTATTTCAGAGAAAGAGTAAAATGAGTGTTTGTGGATGGAAGCTCTGACTCTGTTGCCGTCAGGCTGGGAATAATAGCTGTTACCAACGAAGGCGAGAGCCACAAAGACCTGCCTTGCGTAACCCCACTGCAATGAATTTGATTTCTGAATGACACCTGTGGGCTTTCACTTGTCTTTGCAGCTGCGATGCATCCAGGTTCAGAAAATCAGGTATGTCTGGGATCACCTGGAGAAGCAGTTTCAGAAAGTGGGGTGAGTATGGCTTTGCTTACCACTACATGGGGGCACAAGGGAAAAACTCTGACCCGTCTGGCAGCATGAACTGAAGTGTGGCTCCTGTCCTGACTCATCCTAGGTTGCTGGAAGATAGCAACTCATGCTACGACATCCATCACACGTTTGGGTTGGGGCTGAGCAGTGAAGAGCAGGAGGTCAGGTAGGATGTGCGGTGTTCCCAAAAGTAAGCTCTGCCGGAGGGAAAACGAAATGCTAACTGGGCATCGCCTGTGCACTGGTGGCATAATGGTTCATCGCCTTGTTGGAACTCCAGTTCATTCTCTGGCCTCAGACAGAGATTCCGAATTGTTCTCTAAAGGGAACTTGCTGTAAAGAAAAGACAAAAAAGGGCAAAGTGGTCAAATACAATTTGCCCTTTGCTCTCAGACTTGTAAAATAATCTTATGGTGTCTTTTTACTTCTTTCCTCAAAAATCACTTGAGTCATTGCACAAATATCAGCCTTTTAATACTCTGCATCTTCTGAGACCCAGAAAGTACATAAATGTTGCATTTTCAATGAACATATGGGCCTGGAGGAGAGGATTTTATCTGCTCGGTTAGTGAGGTCAGTCACCACTGCATCTGCAGCACCTAGAACAGCTCCTGATTCATGAAAGGAGTACAATAAATATTTCTACATAAATAAGTAAATTAGCATATTCATTAACTTATTAACATGCCTTTAACATGACTCTGCAAGGAACCAGTGATCTAAAAGAAACACTTAGTCATCATTCTAGAGGCATTCACTGATTGGTGATGAAAGCAAAATAGTGGGACCAGGAATCAAATTCAGGACCTTGTGCTTGCTGGGCAGATGCTGCACTGCTAAATTATATCTTCTGCTAGAGTAGGAAATGCTCACTTAATTTACGCAGAGAGCTACAGTCCTGTTTCCTTCAACTGTGATTCAAAGTGGCCAATCCCAGTGAACCATGGCAAAGCTTCACCAGAGTCATAATAATCTTCATTTCTCAGCCAGTTATAGGGACATGACCTGTTTAACTTTCACTCCAGTCAGCTGAAAGCATCCATTCTTAAGCTGAGAAGAAATCTGATACAATGTTGTTTTGTGACTCCACTCTCAAAATTCTGATAATTCTGTAGGTGGAAATGACACTTTTGAGAGAAGGAACTCTGTATTTTTAGCAATCACACCACATTCTTACATAAAACAAGCCTCAGAGTTACTGGTTTGCTGTTTTAAAGTTTTTCCTCTTCTAGAACAGTGTAAAAAAATCAGCCAGCACCTAGACCAGAACAATACTGCAAAATGCTTTAACAGTGGCATCATTATATAAGATTTCAGAAATAATGCATGATACATTTAAATACATAAAGTTTGCAAAGTCATTAAAAAATTTCCCTACAGCATTGAGTACAAGATGTTTACAGAATTGATTTTGGGCTTTTATGAAATCTCATTGATAGATGTAGATATAACCCTGCTGAGGAAACCATTTTCACAGGAAAGACTGCCCATCAGCAGAGCTACCTCACATTTGTCCTTATTTATCAAATGCTGAGCTTTAATAAACATCATACATAATTAAATTTAAATCTGGCCCACAAAATATAGAACTTGACAAAACAATAAGGAAGACAGAGTACAGTTTCCCAAATATGAAGAATAGAGGAGACAAAGATAATCTCATAACCATATTTTATTTTATAGGCATATTTTAATGGCGGGTGAAAAGAAAATAAGTAAAATGTGAACGTTTTACCCTTCATTTCTGACAGCAGGACTGCAGGATTTTAAAATCTAAATGCGATTGATGGGTTGGTTGAGTGATAGCTTGCCAAGTCCCTAAATGCATTTGAATTTGCTCATATTAAAAAACAAATGTGCGACATGAAAAATGAAAGAAAGGGATACACAAGAAACACTCAAGATGAAAAGCCACAGAATTAAAATGCAGAGTTCTTTGCAGACTTCTAAACACCCAGGTGTGTGGAGTAGATGCACGGAGGCGCCTAATGGTTAGTTGCAAAGTTTAAATGCGCAGACCTACATAATCCTTAATAGGAGAGTTAATTTTATCCTAGAAAGTTATTTCCAGAAGGCACCAGGAAGAGAGCAAGGGAATTATCACAGGAGATCCGTCTTCACTTGAGCTGGACTCAGCTTTGCATCTCAGTGTCTCTCCTGGGCAGGTTCATAGACACTTACAATGAATCTTTTGTTTCAAATGAATGGGGTTCTATGGAAAAACCAAGCAAGACAAAAACCTACCTGATGATCATTTAGTGAGACAGTCTCCTTATTAGGAAGACTGTTCAAAAGCTGGGCATCCCTTCACCTTTTCTGTTCAGCTGCTCCTGTCCGCTTTGTTTACCCTCCTGAAAACAGAAGCACACGTCTCTCGCAGCAGACGAGGCAGGCACTCTTACAGAACTTTCTGGAAGAAAAAAGCTTGGGTGGGTAGAATTGGCTTGTTTCTATGCTGAAAATACTACTGCTGTGGCTGACTCCAGGCAGCAGTGTTCCTTTGCCCAGGAAGAAGCTGGACAGAGATGATCACAGTGGGTTCCACGATTCTGCAGGGCCAAACATAGTCTTCAGCCTTTGCCATGCCACTGCAGAAAAATGTATGTTTGTCATCACCAGTGGCAGGCAGGAAAGAAGGTACATTTGCCCTCAATGCACAGCTCCAAGCTGTTCCTTGAGAAAACAGAACATTGGAAGAGAAAGAAGCCAACAGGAGGTGGGAGATGCAGGAGGCTGCAAGTTCTATGAGACTTTTACCTTCTTACTCCTCAGAGCTCAGGGAAACAAAATTCAGAAGAGGAAGCAGGCTCAATTACCACACACTCTATGCCCTTTGAAAGTTACACTTGTAGAAAGCAGGGGGATACAGGGATTAGGGACTTGTGGAGCCACACAACTGCTCAGTTGTTTGTCCTCTTAACAAACCAGTTTTTCCATGATTTAGTGTCTCAACAACTAGTTCTCCGTGTGAGCCCTCTCTACCCTTTGCAAGCAGTACTTGTAGTTAGAAAGATATGGCCAGAAGGTAGATGAGCTGGGACTCAGCTCTTATACCTCAGTGGCACCGAAGATCCCTCGTGCAGATTCTCCCCACTGGGACTGGCTGAGGAGGAGCTGTGGAGTAAGAATCACAGACATCACAGTAGGAAGCCTGGCTCTGTCTCTTTCCAGGGCTGAGGTCCTGCGACAATGGGGGATAATATAAAACCTCAGGGGATAACAAAATGATTGAAGAAGTGAATGGGTATTAAAGGCTAACCGCAGTTTTTGACAGCTTAAAATTTGTATTGTTGCGATTAACAGTAGATCTGTGCAACTGTGGTGATTAAACTTCCACACCAAAATGGGAAGGCAGGGATATGAAACTTCCCTTTGAACTATGGTGAGAATCAAAGGACACGTGAGTTGTAAATTACTAAACATGTGCGGGGACTTCTTTTCATAATATACAGACCTTGTATGTGATATAACATTTACAAGGTGCAAACTCTTAACCTGCTTCACTCCATCTGCTCCTTCATGGTTTGCATGCCAAGGGCCTTTCCTGGGTTCTGGGGATGCCGAGGCAAGACAGACTGATTGTTAGTATCGAGAGTGGTTTACACGCTGACCAAGTCTGGAAGAGTATCTTCGTTATCTGTGTCTTTTCTTTCTTTTTAAAAGCTGTGTCATATTATTTTAAAGAATAACTCAAGGGGCCAGGGATATAGCTTAGCAGCATAGTGCCTGCCTGGCAAGCACAAGGTTCTGAGTTCGATTTCCAGTACCAAAAAGAAAAAAGAAAAGAATCCTCAAAATATCTTTGTAACTTCATTTTGACCCTTTGAGTTGCACCAAAGGCATTTTAAAAACTAATATGTATTTTTATTGGTACATGTTTGTAATACATAATGTTCGCGTTCCTTGTAGGGGGTTAGTCATGCACACAATACATCTAAAGAGATTTTTAAAATAGAAAATCAACTCTGGTCATCATTCACTGACTCTCCTTTTAAAAATATATTAGTTTGTTTGTGTTTCGAAAGTACCTATGAACTGTGCTTTGTTTAACTGGAGTATCTCCAAAGTGCAGAGGAGTAGCTTGGGGTCTGTTTGGTGGCATCATCAGAGGCTGCAGGGGTGACACTCATGGCTGATTAATTTCCTACAGAAGACTCGTGTGTGGGCCCAATGCCATTGAGGTTGAAATCCAACCCATATGGAAGCTGCTCGTTAAACAGGTAACTAGCTGTTTATTTTATTTTATCTTTGAAAACATAATATTTTGCCCTTCCTTTTAATTTCCTAGCACTAGAGGAAACTTAAACAGTGCATGAATATTTCAATGTGAATGAAATCTTCATTTGTGAATGTGACTTCATTTTGTTATTGGTACCTTGACTTTCTATGTTTCCTTGTTTATTAAGGTTTCCTTTTTTGGATGGTCCTTTTTCAGTAACCACTTATTTGAAGTTAAAATTCACTCTAGAAATATTTTCCCAGTTTGAGCATCTGAGCTAATCTCCTCTTCACTGGCAACAAAGCACCCTGCACACAACTTGAAAGGGAAGAGGTTTATTCTGGTTCACAGTGTGTAGAGGTTTCAGTTCACAGTTGGCTGGCTCTAAGCTAGGACAGCAAGGCAAGGGGCATGGATACCTAGAAGCACAGTGAGGGGGGGTGGAGAGAGGGGGACAGACCCCTTAGCCCATGCCCCTGTCATGCACTTCCTCTGACCAGGCTTTGCCTCCCAGCACAACATGTAGCTGTAGCCTCGTCAGGAGAACCAATCCACTGATGAGTGTCACATCCCATGATCCAGTCACCTCCAAAAAGCCCACTCATGATCACATGATGCCTTAGTGGGACATCCAGATATGAACCATAACAGTGAGAGATAGATTCCTGTTTTATCGGCTCCTATTTGTTGCATCTTTTTGTTGTTGATGATGGCAGTAGTACGATGTCATAGCTCTGGGGCTACTACAATGAAAGAGCAACGATTAGGTGACTTAAACAGAAAATTTTTATTTCCCATAGTTTTTGGAAACTGGAAAATTCAGGCTCAGAGCGTCTGCACGTTCAGTACCTAATGAGGGCTCTTCCTGGCTTGCTGACCTCCACCCTCCCACTGTGCCCTCTCATGGTGGACAGAGGGAGCCTCTTCCTCATGCAAAGATCAACATGAGGGCCCCACTCTTATGACTTCCAGAAACTCAATTACCTTCCAAAGGCTCTGCCTCCAAATAACATCACCCGGGTGATAAAGGCTTTGACGTGTGAATCAGAAAGGGCACAACAGTGAGGCAATGTTATTACCTCGATTAATTTGGAGAATTTGAAATGTTAATGTTTTGATTTTTTTCAAATTATTCTTTTATTTCCATTTTCTTGATAGTTTCTTCTTTTGTTAGTTTTTTTTAAACAATATCTTCTGTGTGTGCTTTGCTGTTATTTTTGTAAGCTGATTTTAAGCAGGATGTTTCCCCTCCCCTATTCTCCTCTTTCTCCCCGTTGTGCCTGAAACCCTCTTTGATGGTCCCGTGACTGCCTTCAGCTGGTTCTCATGGGGTTCCTGGGGTCCCATTGGAACTCCCCGAGTTGTCGCATGAAGAGGCCTTGTTCTAGCTTGGGCCTTGGCTAGGCTGTGGTTGTGCCACAGCTCTGCTCTCTCCCTTTCTACCCTTAGCTAATAAACTATCTCTGGATGCAGACTTTCTAAGCCTCCATGCTGGGACAGGAAGCCCACTGCCACCTCTGTTTACTATCATAATCCTCATCTCTGTCCTGGTACCTTGTGGATCATGAGAGGGTCTCTATGGTCACTGGAACTGAGCTTCTACCATCCACTGTCTTGCTCCTGATTAGAATCCACTGGACAGGTGACTTTCCAAGTAGTTAATACATTGCATTCTGCGCAATATATGGGCACAGAAAATTCTTCAATTGATATTAGCACAAACCTTCCTTTTCCATGAATCAAGATACATTAATAGTATAGCTAACTCCCATTTTTTTCTCTCTTTTCCCTTCCTTTCTCCTTTCCCTCACTCTAGTTTCCTTTTCATCTTAATTTGCCAGGTGATTTTAGTCCCCATCTAGTGCTGCACATTTTTAGTCTAACCTGTGAAGATGGTCATTTTGTTTTGAAGCACGACTGTATCATTATAGTATAAATACTTTTTACCTACTGGTGTTCTGTGTCTAGAGTGAAAACAAAGCTACTGTTACTTGACTTTTTCATTTTGACTGTACTTCACGTGACCTTTCTCTAGCTCCTCACTTTTGCCCTGTCTGCTGTAATTATCAATATTGAATCACTGGTACCTAGATGGAGAATTGAGAGGATGAAAAATTGAAAGTATTACCAAGTAACCAAAAAGGGGCACACCTGTTTGGCCAGCTTCCAGTCTTAGCAACGCCTTCTGCTGGAGGCTGTCCTGCAGCCACGGATAGAACACTGCTTCTAAGGGTCGTCCCTGCTCAAGGACCCAGATGACCCTCAAACAATCTCATTATACCTATGACTTTAAAGATTAGGTCAATTTTAAATGACATGGAGAAAAGTAGAATATTTTTAGAGTAGTTTTAAGTTCCCAGTAAAGTGGGGCAGAAGGTACAGAAGATTTGTTGCCACCCTATGTTCCCACAGCTTCCCCAACCATCTGAGAGAGGCGCTTCTTAGATTTAGTATTCAACTACATCTTCAAACTGCTAGAGAACCTAACAAGGGTCAATTCGATCTATTTTGAAAGGAATGGTAGTGTTTCTACTGCTCATTTATTATATCTTTAAAAAGTCTAGGAAAAGTTGTAATTCATATTTGGTTTCTAAAGAATATTGAAAAGGGGGAGAATGAATTATGATGGTGCTGTTTCTTCTACAAAAAGAATTTAACCAAATTTCCACTGGATTTCTATAAAAGCAAAATCGTGTTACCTTTACTGCACCATCTACAATTAGAGAATTTTATACCAAACAAGCACGAGATCTGTAATGTATAAGCAGAGCAGTCTAGAAATAATAAGAAACATTAAGGAACAAAAGCTTTTAAAATGTACAAAACATACTCACGAGTTTGAGAAACCCTGAAGTTAGCAGTCTACTAACCTATTAACCAGGTAATGTGTATTTTGGGGGCTAAAGTAGAATTTTATTTACTTTGCTTTTTTTTTTTAATTGGTACCGGGGATCGAACTCACGACTGCCTGGTTGCAAGGCAGGCACTTATTGCCGCTGAGCTAAATCCCCAGCCCCGAATTTTATTTACTATATTAGGGAATTATAGATAGTGGATAGTGTATATAAGAAAGAGAATCTTAGTTTTAGCTAATATTTAATCTCATTTATAAAAATAAGGGCATCCTTCTAGAATCTTTGCTCTGTTCCAAAGGGCTCCTTAAACTTCATCCTGGCTGTACCGCATGTGACCATTCTCCAGCGCCTCACATTCATCCTCTCGGCTCTAATTATCAATAGTGGACCTCGATGAAAAACTGAGGGAACGAAAAATTGGGAGTATTTCCAAGAAACTGAAATTGTGCACACCTGGTCAGCCAGCTTTGGGTCAGTGCCTTCTGCCCGAGACTGTCCTGCAGCCACGGGTAGACTGCTTCTGAGGATCATCCTTGTTCAAGGACCCAGATGACCAGCTCACTATACCCGTGACATTAAAAATGGGTCACTCTAAGGTTCCCTGATAAAAGTAGAATCTTTCATTTCTATCACACAACTTGACTAACTCTGCAGGACACAGTTACATGAAACAATGTGATAAAGCTGTTCAAAAATCAAAGTTCATCTTAAAAGAATCCGAGTCATGTTTCTCCTCCATGATAGGTAAATCTATCTAGAAAGATCAACAGCTAGATGTTGGTATTGGGAAAATATTTTTGAAAAGTCAAAATGCTAAAAATGGTCAATTTATAGGCATGGCTCTGAGTAGTAAGATAATTTTGTTCCCATCATGTGATAGTCTATGAGCTTGACATTGTCTCTATTAATGGAATCATAAGTAAATGCTTCAATATTAAAGGTTATTGTATATTAAAAAGGAGAATAAACCATTCTGTAAGTAAATTACACTAGATTGCCACTAAAGCCTAAGTAAGTGCTATTTTTGCACCTGCAGGTTTTGAATCCATTCTACGTATTCCAAGCCTTCACCCTAACTTTGTGGCTGTCGCAAGGCTACATCGAATATTCCGTGGCTATCATCATCTTGACCATTATCTCCATTATCTTAAGTGTGTATGATTTGCGACAGGTAAGTGACAAAAGCACAGTTGGATTCTGTTTAGTTTCCAGCTAAAAAAAGCAACTTTGGAACTTCCAAAGAGAGCAAGGAGTCATTTTGTCAAACAATAACTATAACAAAACAATAAGCAAAGGGGTATGAAATGTGTGGAATCTCGGTAAGAGGACTTAGGAACGAATTTGAATATTTTTTTTGCAAATTCTGCTGAAGATTTCACTGAGTGGCGTGTGTAGAAGGGCTCTCAGGTTGTGTCTGAGGATGGTTGAGAATGGATGCTGTGACAGATGAATCAGGTTAGCAGTGGTTTGAGGAAAAGCAGGTGTATTTCAGCTGTGCAAATTAATCACGATATATGTCCTTTCTGATTATTTGACAACCCATGTCTCCAGTTACGTGCCATATTTGTTCTATACATTTTCCACCTAAAACTTTATGAAAATTAAAGTGTTTCTCATGAGACTCCTTTACATTTCTTCATTTGGAATGAGGATATACCTTCATTTAGAATACAGACAAACCCAAAAGAAATATGGAAATTTCTATGCAGGAGTTTGGGGAAGGTTTTTGAAATAAATTTGTCTTGATTCTCAACTCCGTGGCACAGTGTGTCAGCAAGAGAATTACCTGTTAAGTCAAAATATCCAGGCAATAACATAAACCTATAGTTTTAAATAGATTCATAACAGGTGATTGCTATGGATTCCAAAGGCTTAAAAATGTTTGTGATACGGGAATCTGCAGAAGTATAAGTGCAAACACCGAGACTATAAATATTTGTATTTGTTTACTTATCAGTCTCATCATCAGCTACACACAGTTTTTCACTTTTTTAAACTCTAAATCATGTTTAAAAGTATGATATTTCATGATGTATCATAAATCATTCAACTTTTATTTATTGGAAATAATATTATTTTCCTCCAGTTTTTCCAGCCACAAATAATGTCGGATTAAACATGACCACAATATAGATATACATTTGCATATTTGTATTTGCGTTTTTCAGCCTAGCAACCAAAAGCCAAATTGCTGGATAAAAGGATAGGTATAATTTGAATTTTAATAGATACTGCTATATAATTTTCTCCAAATGAAATAATTCCTTCAGTCAGCAACATGCAAGAATATAATTTTCTCTGCTTCTCATCAGCATTTAGTGTTATATAGTGTTGATTTTTAAAAATTTTACTCTAATACATTGTTAAAATTGATATTTTAATATATAGTTTCCTGATGAGTAGTGAACATTGATCTATTTCCATATGTCTAAGTTTCAAATTTTTCTTTTGTATTAATGGGCTTTTCATATATGTACCATATATGAGAAAAGTTTTATTTTTAATCTATCTTTTTTCTCTTGATTTTGACTTCTGCTGTACATTGATAATTACACACAGTTACATGTGTTTATTTTTTACTTTATAGTTTCTGGGTTTCCTGTTTTGTATAAAAAGGTGTCCCTCCCAAACTTATGTGATTTCAGTTTTTTCCATTTGTTATTTGCTTACTATGTATTTTTAAATCTTTCATGGAATTTAGACATTCAAGTTATGCATCGTAGTAGAATCCCTAATTTCCTTTGCCAAAAATAGTGATTAACACAGGACCTTCAGACTTGGTAACAATATTGTGAAGGATTCCTTTCAGAAGAAGAAAAGGAATTATAAGAGACAATAATCTCATTAGCAGCTGGTATTTGTTTAAAAAGATTATCTGACCCAACCTGTAAAGCCTTCACACAAAATGTGCCAATTTCCTGAAACTGTATCTTTGCAATTCAACCCTTTCCCAAGGGGCTGGAATGTACACGTCTTACTGCTGAGCCGCTCCAGTGGTATGTGCACAACTGCATCATGCATAACTGTACCACTTCTACTACCAGTGTCAGAAGCCACCTGATGGGACAGTCATGCCTGGATCCCAGTGGTACAAACCAGCAGGAACCTGTTAAATCACAAATCCTCATGCGGCTGGGGATTTAGCTCAGCGGCATAAGTGCCTGCCTGGCAAGTGCGAGGTTGTGAGTTCAATTCCTGGTACCAAACAAACAAACAAACAAAAAAACCCCCAAATCCTCAGTGATCAGAATCTGTTCAGTAGTTTATAGTCTACAATAGGACTCTATATCCTCCATGTACGTGTGTCCGGGCATGACAATTTGTGAAATGAAACAACTGTTACATCTTCCTCTGACCAGAAAGAGAAGGACAGGGACAATCAGGAAGGTGAAGTGACTTTCTCTCATGTCCTGTAACAGTGGCCACAGAACTTAGTGCAGGGTTTCCTGATTCAGATCAAATATTTCTTATTAGTGCATTGAGCACATTCTCAAAGTGATCCATGGACCTGGTGGGGACAGTAAGATCTGGCAGTTTGGTAGGAATGAAAGAAGGAGCATCTGTTTCTATGTGCAACTCATTTTATTGAGATCTGGGTGCAGTGGCACATGCCTGCAAGGCCAGCTATTCAGGAGGCTGGGGCAGTAAGATCACAAGTTCAAGGCCAGTCTGAGCAGCTTCAAACAAACTACTTCCAAACAAAAATCTGCGTGTCAGCACTTGGTGAATGAACATTTGCCTAGTATATGCAAGGCCGTGAGTTTAATCTCTAGTACTGAAAAAAATTTTATTGAGTTATATTGAAATTCAGCATTTCATGAAATTAAAGATTTAGCTACACAAACACAGGTTTTTAAAAATCATAATAGAGGAAGTGTTTGCGGAAGTGCAAGACAATACCATTCTGTACCTACTCTAGTAGCAAATCGTGCTGCACTAGAGTTCACCTGCCTTAGCCACCCACATTTTTACTGCTTCTCTTAGGAGCAAGCTGTGGTTCTAATGTGTGTCTATACCGAACTTTATCTGCAGACTCCGTGGCTGGATCTACCACTGTGGCAGTTAGAGGTGGCACCTAGCCTCTTTAGTTTTGGCTTCACTCTGAGCTGCACTGTGCTCGAGAGGCACCTGAGTTAATGCCCCCATTACTCATCTCTGGAGAAAATCCAGCCACAGCAAACATAAGGACACCAAGTAACAGATGCTGCATAATAACATATACAAATTAGTCTTGGAAACCAATCCTGGTCGCACTCAAGAGAGACTGGAGAAACCAGAGGGGGCCTAATGAAAATCAGGCAACGAGGTTTGCAGTCATGGCAAGCATCACAGCACTTGTCTGTTCCTGGCTGTTCAGTTGCCATAGAAACCCATGCTTGTAGAGTTTCTGAGTACATCAGCTCAAAGAGGATACTTACAATATCCTACTCCAGGATTGTTGGGAAAAGTAGACTAATTCAGTTCTATTAAGTGTGCATTGGCTGGGGGCCCACTGTGTGACAGACTCTGGTGGGGGATACATGGGTGAGCACGTAGACCCTTTCTTCTGGGAACTCCCTGCTTCACTGGACAACAGATAGCTCTTAATGTAAGGCATCGATCAGTTCATCAACCCAGGTGGAGACTCAGAGAGCAGAACAATGCATGCTTCCCACTGAAGGCGAGGATGGTGGGGTGGAGGCCACACTTAATCAGGGCTTTACATGAAGGATTAGAAAGAGTTGGCCAGGCAAAAGCTGGGCTGCATATTCTGGGGAATAGACAGAGCGAAGGTATGGAAGTGTGGCGTGTCACACGGAATGCTAAGTCTGATAAACAGATCCAGCCTACAGCATAATGAGTTCTGAGAATTACTGTCAAGCATTATTAACTCAGACTTCTCCACTTCCAAATGGGATGATTATCATCCTCTTCAGCTAAGCTGAAGTTATTATCATGGATTGATGAAAAGTGTGTTGAGCAAGAAAAAAACGGAGGGAGAGTGTTTATCTTCTAAAGAGAAATGATGTTACCAAGCACCAGAAGAGTATACTCATCAACAGGAAATGCTGTTGAGCCAGATCAGCTTTCGTTTGATTGTAATATTAATAAGTAAATGTTTGTGGGAACATTGCTTCAACATTTTCAGCCCTGGGGCTATTACTCATTGTCTTTGTTTGTTTGCTTTTCTATTGTTTATGTATTTGTTGGAGAGACAACACTGTCATAAGAAAATCTTGTGGAAGATTAAAAAATACAAACACTTCATTCTAAGTGCCTACAATTGTGCATGGAATGTAGTAATACAATGATTTTAAACTATTTTTAAAAATGATAATCGAGGGGCTGGGGATTTAGCTCAGCCGGGCAAGCACAAAGTCATGAGTTTGATCCCTGGTACTGGGAAAAAAAAAACATAATCTGAGTCATTTATGTGTGTTATGTATTTCTTCTATGAAGTCTTCAGTGTTTCTGATAAGGCTCTGGCATGTAAAATGAATTGGTATGATACAATTTTAGAGCTTGAAGGTGATTTGAAATTGAGTCAATTCAATGTTATCTATCTGTGTACAGAAGAAACAACTGCCTGGTAAGATGAGATTTCTTACATACCGCAGTTGGCTGGCGAGTGGGTAGATCGTCCCTGCAACTCCGGAATCAGGACTGATAATCTCACTATTCATTACCTGTCACTTAAATGTGTGCCCCAACAGTCAAACCTCAGGAACACACTTCAGGACACTGAATCTGTACCCAAAAGTAACTTCACTTGTTCCACTCAGTTTGTCCTAATTGGGGAAGTTTAGCTTTTCACGGAAAACTGAATAATAATAATAAATTTTTCCATATAAATATTAATACTGAATTCATTATGGTCTCTCAACAGGAAAGTTGCCTAATTGTGTCTAATGCTTGTCTTAGCCTGGTGATATTTGTAACATTACAACTCATCAATAGCAAGAGATCTAAATAATTTAATGTTTAAAAGAAAAACGAGTTTTCTGTTTGCCTTTGGTTAAGCTGCGTTTGAGTACGGATGACAGTGTTCCAAACCTCTTCTCCCTACGGCTGCCCGGGTCACTGTACTGATATGAAAAGGGGCTGTTGCTGTAATAAGCGGGCTCAAAGTCAATTTCTCTCTATGGCACCTCGAGTCAGCGTGGGGGATTCTACAGATGAAACCCCCTCTCCCCTACTTCTGACTTCCTGTGTTGTCCTCGGAGACAGACAGTGCACCCATTCCCCCAGTCCCCTTTCTTGCCCCCCTTTCACAGAGCTGGATTTCAGTAAATTCTCCCTCCAACAAGTCTTCCCAGTAGATGTACACTCACAATTGTTTCTCCATCAGCAGCTTTCTTGTTAGTCATCCGTGCTTATGAATTCTCAGCAGAGCACTGAGTTCCGAACAGAGGAAGGATTTCCTAGGAATTAATTAACTTAATATAGCCCTACAAAATATAAACTTATTATCACCCCTTTCCGATGAGCAAAGGGGAGTCCAGCAACCCAAATAACCTATGAGTGGTAGCACTAGGATTCGAAATAGCAGCAAGACTCCAGCCTGCAGATTCAACTAACATGCAAATGCATGGTTGTTGACATGAGATAGCTGTGCCCAATGCAGTGAAAACACAAACAACACAGCCACAGGCGCTTAGTGGCAAAAAGCCACTTGTGGATCAATTCAGCTTTGTTATTTTAACAGGGAAACAGAAGCATAGAGGAGGAGTCAGTGTCTTCACTGCTATTTCTTTCTTCCTCATTCTAATTGTGCATCCTCAAGAAATGAAGCCTTGGGGCTGGGGATTTAGCTCAGTGGCATAAGCGCCTGCCTTGCAAGCCTGTAGTTGTGAGTTCGATCCCCAGTACCGGTAAAAATACAAAAAAACAAAAACAAAAAATACAAGAAATGAAGCCTTGGTACCTCAGGTTAGGTCCTTTCGGCAGTGACTGTGTGCTATTTTTCCTAGAGATGGATAACACCCAACGCAAGCACACAATTGCTACGGTAAGTGGTGGGTCAGACAGGTAGGGATTGAGGCAGAGAAGCTGGAGTATCCGAAGTAAAAGCAGTTGAATCTTCTTTTAGAAGATTCAATGATTTGGCATTTACTGTGCTGAGGTCACATGGTTTTTAGGATGTGACTACTTGATATTAAAATCTGGACTTTACATTGACAGCAATCAATTAAGCTGCACAAACTTGTGGAAGATCACAACAAAGTCCAGGTTACCATTGCTGTAAAAGACAAAGGTAAGTGATGTGTTTGGCCTCACTAGCATCTGCCCTTGTCAGGGTAGAATTCTTCTCATTTGTCCTTGGTTATTAGACAAAGAGAAATAGTCTTTTCGAATTGAACCCAGGACTTGGACTAGCGAGGGACAATTCAGTATCTGAGACATGAAATGAAAGGCAATGAGGCTGCACAAATCCTGCCCTTGCATCTGCAAGCCCAGTGGCCACTGCCGCGAGCACCTGCATCCTCCGGTCCCCTTGCTTGTTTTCTTCCTGGCCCAGCTCTCCAGTGTCTGAGTGGCTCTGGATTCCCTCTGCCCTCCGTATTTCACTTACTTGACTGTTACTGAGTAAATCTTTCTCAGCTAACTAATCCAAAGACCCTGACACCTGGAGAATAGACCCAAAGAAGGCGTTTTGATGTTGGCTGACACTTGGCACTTGCTCTCAACCAGCCTGGAATTGGGGGCCACAAATTCCTTCAGGAAATGAAGAACTGCACTTGCAGAATAGCAGAAAGCTCTCTGGACAACTTGCATGAGGCCCCAATCCACCGAGGAAAAGGTGTCCCAGGGTTCAGGCACTAGGAAAATTCCAAACAGCAGCCATGGGCACCTTTCCTCATACCAGTGCTCTGTAGTATTCTCTGTGGGTAGAGCACAGACTGGATACTAGGTTCAAAATAGAATTTTATTGCTGAGCTAACCCTTTGCTGTGTTTCGTGAAACTGTTCCCTTTTCCTGGTTCTCTTGGAATTTTCAGATGAGAAAAAGGGATTTTGAGCAGGTAAGGCAGGTAGGGCAGCTCTTAGCCGACAGGTTGGTAAGCGTTCTCAGTCACATTCACTCTTCTGTAAAAGCAGGAAAGGGTCAGGAAGTCATGGAATGTTTGCTATTACATAGGTTTGCAGGAGCTGGAGTCCCGCCTCTTGGTTCCCGGAGATATTCTTATTCTTCCAGGAAAATTGTCATTGCCGTGTGATGCTGTTCTAATTGACGGGAGCTGTGTGGTAAACGAAGGCATGCTCACAGGTAAGCAGTCATCGAGCTTCCTCCTCCATGTGCAATGCCTAAGTCTGTGTTAGCAAGTCATACCAATATATCCTTACTGATCTAGTGCCAAGCTCTCTGCTAAGACATTGTTAGATGGCAGAGATATACCTATTCACTGACCTGGAGACACAATATATAGGAGCAGGCAGGGTTCAATAGTCAAGGAATTAAACCATGATAATCACAAAACTATAAGAAACATTAATGCCACATGTGACTCATTGTCCACCTTGTGGAGTGACCAGGATGAGTGGAAGGGGCTTGAACAGGCAAACAGGTTGAAACAATCTTTTCATAAATAGGAGAACTGTTACACCCTACCTCTAAACAACATACAACCTAAGAAGTTAACAACTCTCACAATTGGAAGAGTGTAGAGATTTTCTGTAGACCTGTCCTCTATGGATAGAAAGCCAGCAACCTCTGGGTTTCACTAGAAAGTTTGTGCTAAACCTTAGGGTATAGATAGTAACCTCTTGGTTCTCTGAACTAAAACTGCTTTTCTCGTTTTAGGCAGAATGGTCCTGGTTTCCATTTGTAAAGTTTCACTGTATTTACATGAAGCACTATTTATGAAACATTCTTTAGGTACAGAAACCCCACAAAGCACAGCACATTGTAATAAAATAAACTATATGGTCACACAGAGATAAAAACTATTTGCCTTTTATGCTTGCAGATTGTTGAGTTTTTCTATTTTCAAATGGTTTAAAGTCAGGGAGAAACAGCATACACAAAGCTTTGACACTACCTAAATGTAGTGAAAAATCATTATCTATTCCTGCATTGTTCAGCATAAGCAGATTTCACATTAAAAATGGGTTTGCTTAAGTTAAAATTGAGAGAAGAAAATGTAGTAAAGATAATGTATTTAGTACAATTACAAAATATCCCTTTAATGTGTTGAAATCTAACTGCCTTATAATGATAATGATGAAGATCTGCATACTGATCATATCTTTCATCCAGAATGTTGCCATAGTACCCAACGTGCAAACCTCGAGCTTGAGGAAAACTGTCCTTCTCACTCAGATGCTGCGTCTCCTGTCTTCTGCAGCGTGGCGGTGCAGAATGGCTTCTTTCATGGCACCAGAGCCCATGAAAGCAGTGGGAAAACAGAGGCAGGGAAGACAGGAAGCTCAAGCCCTCAGTCTGCTCCTGTTGCTCTGACTGGGGTCGGTGTACAGTACCTACCCTGATTTTCAGGAAAACTCAGAGGGCCCCAAAGAACTAGGAAGAGGAAATAACTCTGCCTTTGAATAAATGTACAAAGTTGGCCTAAAATGACCTTAGGTGGCAACTGTCTTTTATCTGATGTCTGTTCTGGAAAAGCTAAAATCACCAGCACTAATATCTACATAACCAAAGTAAATTGTGGAGACGGACATATTAACTAGAAATCCATCTACCTGTATCTATCTATGTCCTTATCTATATCTATTTACTTCTCATTAATTTCTTCAAAAATGTAATTCGCAGTATGCTTTAAATACTTTATTACATTGCTAACATAGATCCTTCCATTAATGCACAGAATGCTGGCACAAAGGATCCTGACTGCACAATCAGAAGATTAGGGTTACATTTCTGAAACTGCAAATGTATTCCTAGGACACTTTTATCCATATATGATTTCACATCTATTTTTTCCATGAGCCAAGTAGTGCAGAAATTTTTATTTGTGTAAGAATAAAAAAGGTGAGTGCTCCTAGCACCTCTGTAGCAACTTATCTCTTATAAATAACTTCGGCTTCCGACTTCATTATGGCATGAAGGAAATCAGAACAGGAACTCTTGTAATACCAATCTCTACCTGAGGAAACTGCACTGAAAGGGATCTGAGCTGCTCAGCAGGTGAGGGAAGATCAGAGCTGGAGGTGGTGTTTGTTCCAAACACGCAGGACACAGGAGCGAGGAAGACGATTCTAAGGGGTACAGTGGCTGCCTTCACCCCTGGGCCTCGTCACCCCTGCGCTCTGTGTGACACTCCCATAGTGCTGCCCATTGTAGGACCCGCCTGCTGCTCATCCCCTCAGCATTGCCCCATTGCCACAAACACCTATGCAAGAGGCTCAGCTTTATTTTGTAGCTCCATGAAAGCTTTATCTTGATCCCAAATTTTCCCATTCTGGAAAGTGTTCAGGGTGAGTGCCTGGGTTAAGCCCGGTAGTCCTCCCAGTATGTTGGCAGCCCTCCCAACCCTTGTTTGCTTGCCAGGGTTGTAGAGGACAGGGAGCAGGGGAATGTACTTTTGGGCATCTTCTCTTTCAAGTGTTCCTTCCCTCCCCTAAGTTGTCTGAGGCCTAGCCACTTGGAAGGACGCAAGTGCCACTTGGAAACATGCAAGTGCAATCTGTGTTTCCAAGACCTGACCGCATGTCCTCACATGGTACTTCAGCGCATTTTTCTTAGGGACACATGACATGTAAGTCTCCTCCAGATTCTCTTGCAACCCCAGTCTGGGGTCTTTAATTTAGGTAAAGATGCAAAAGGCATTACTCTTAGGTAGTCCCTCAAAAACACGGTAAAATTTATGACTGATTTTTAAAACTAAAAAGCCAACCACCAATTCCTTTATCCATTTTTTCTGCCTCCTTTCCTGATACGATGATCCCCTACAAGATCTAAGGCCACTCAATGGACAGGAGTCAAGAAGCAACAGTGACTGTCACAGAGGAGGAGAATCTATTACTATTTTATACTTTTTTCTTTGCACAATAGCTATTTTTCTTAGTTGGCATATGTATTTGGCTTTGTACCCATATTTTAGGTCTTATTTACACAATTTAAAAGTCTGTTAAGGTGTGTAAATCTGAGATCCACAGAGGATAAATAATTTGCCTACCGTTTGGCTAAGTATGGTGTAGCTGAGCGTTTGATTTGTTAGCTGGTGCATTTGCTCATTTCACAGATGTTTATTAGCAGGATGGAATTCAGTGGTGAGCAGGACAGATGAGACTTGTGTCCTCATGGAGCTGATATTCTGTGTGAAGGGTATGAAAATATGCAAATGGGAATGAATAGCAATGATTCACCAAAAACTGTGCTTCATGAAGAAAATGAATCACCCAAACCCAGGCATTTTTGTCCCCAGAGCTTATGCTTAGAGAGAGCTTATTCTTCTCTCCCAAAGGGTGGTGAGGAGAGGGGTGACATTCCCTCTGCCACAGTTGCCTCCCCTCCCTCGCCTCATGAAAGGTCTGATTTACCTGAGTGTATGGAGCCTGATCTGGACACACTAGAACCCCGACAATGGTTATTCACCCTGGTATCTTGCTGGAGTGGCTGGTGTCAGTTAATAGATCAGATCTTTTACTCTCTTCTCATCCTTCCTTATTCTAATTCTATTCCCTTTCTTTTACTTATCCATCAATTTACTTAATTAAAGCTCAGAAATGCCTACTCTGTGCAAGGCACTCTGTTGTGTGTTGGAATCACACAATAATAAATCCTTTCAGCAGAGAATCCCAGAAATGGAAATAAACAAGCACATGGCATTCCAGACACAGTCACCACACAGAGGAATCTGGCTCCTTGGGGCAAGGGAAGGGATTTCTATTTGACAGCAGTGGGTCCCAGGAGCCAGCTCTCCAGTTGACTGGGAATGATGACTCGACTCCTCTCTGAACCAAATTCAGACTCTTTAGACTCCCCTCATCTCTTGTAGGTGAATTCTTCATTTCTAGGGCTCCCTGTAAAGTGAAAACCATGCAATTTTTCATCAGCATGTGAATAGTGTAAGAGACTTGAAAATCATTTTCTGGGTACAGTCAGATGCTTTGAATGTCATCTCTGGAATGATATTCCCTAGGTGGCTTTCATATTTGATTGCTTAGTACCTGTGTGTCTCCAATTCCATTGATGGTGTGTGTGTGTGTGTGTGTGTGTGTGTGTGTGTGTGTGTGTGGTATGTGTAAAACTTTGCTAATACTATATTAGCTAAAGCAGATATTGTGTATTAGTATTCTTGAGGTGAAGGCAGAAACACTCTTGCAGTTATCTATAAGTATTTACCTATTACAAAGTCTAATTTCAAAAACAATGTGGCACAGTGATTTGGAGATTCATCAAAAGGTTCTATTTCTTGTACAAAGCGATTCAGAATGCCATTGGGAAATCCATCCACACAACTGATGAATATTATAATTGTTCTAAAGAAAGTGGCATATGGACAAAGAAATTGCCTGAAGAACATTCAAAGACCACTAATAAAAATTTTATAGCTTCTTACACCTTATAATACAAAACAGTACCATAATAGGAAACTAGTTTTGAAAAAAACAGTAATAGAAAAACCTATTGGAATGCTTTTTATCTAATTCAACTATGCATTTAACAAAGATACATATTTTGAACCTATTATATACCACTAGGGAAAATGTAGAGTATAAATATGTATGTCAAGTCTCTGCCCTCAGTTACCTAGAGATAAGACCTGAATTTGTTTAACTATAATCAATGTGATACTATTTCCAAATTGGAAAGATTCATGTTACTGTGCTAATTGAACATTTAGCAAAAAGACCTGAGGAATTTTAAATTCATTTTAGTGCTTTTTAAATCTGGGAGCCCGGAAGCATTATTAACATTTTTATTTTGTCTCTGGATTTTATCTTTTTCATTCCAAACTCATTTATTCTTTGAATACTCTGTCCTACCGTTAGCAGGAAACGGAGGAGGCATGATACCATGAAAGAATGGGAGTCAATAAAAGGAAATGCACAGGTTTAGTTTAGCTGGTACTTGTGCAGGGAAATTACAGCCACAGTGTTTGAAATGGGGTGAGCTTTGCAGTGTAGCAAGGGAGCTCAGGCTTTGTTATCCCTCAGGTAATGGGAATGCCAAAGGACTTTTGAGAAGAAGAATGGAATAATAAAAGGGGGCTTTGATAGAGTTTACTTGAAAGTGGTGAAGGATGATTACGATGTTCTAGCATACTTGTTTAATGAAAGAGTACATGAATAGATGACTGGATCAATGAAGGAATGGAAGGCAAATAGTAAAAACTACCCTGCGTCATGTAAGCTCCCTCATTGCTTGCAATAGTGCTGGGCTGAGGAACTTTTGGGAGTACAGCTGACAACTAACATCGGCCACTTTTTAAATCACGACATGATTTAAACCATGCAGGTCAGGTGTAGGAAAGAGCTGTTCTTTGAACAAATTTGAAGTAGAATTAAGTCTATCAGTGCTTGCCTTGCTTGGATCCCTAAGAATAGTCATCTGACTCAGTGTGTGGGCAGTAAAGTCTTTCAGCTGTAATCGTATACTTTCATAAAACTGGTGGGCAACAGTTTGGAGTAGCTGAGTTTACATAAAATCAACGAGCTACCATCTTCTTTAGGAGAAAGCATACCTGTGACGAAGACACCACTGCCACACGCGGAGAACACCATGCCCTGGAAGTCCCACAGCCTGGAGGATTATCGGAAACATGTACTTTTCTGCGGAACAGAAGTTATCCAGGTCAAACCTTCCGGCCAGGGGCCTGTGAGAGCTGTCGTTTTGCAGACAGGTGAGTGGATTCCACTTTTGTAAATTTAATTTATGTCTGAAAGTGGAGGAGGGTTGGATTAAGGAAAGGATTTTTTTGCTTTTTTAGAATTTTGGAGCTTGCATATTCTAGTACTAACATTCATTTTTTCTAATCAAATCTTTATTATTCCAAACACATTTTAACTGAATGATTCATAAAAACCATTGCATAGGGCAAAAGCTATGCACAGATGATGTAGATTTCCTTCACGCCAACACAGCGATACTGGTTTGGCTTGGGTCCAGAGGCTTCTTCTCTTTTCTCTCAACATTGCCAGAATCATTGTCAACTACAATCGCTCTGAGTTGCTTGCAGGCTGTGCATTAAACTCTATCTGGATTCTCTTCAGACACTTCAAAGTCTGGACATGAACTCATCCTCTGTGCATTAACAGCCTCATCATTAACTGGTCTCTACCTCTCTAACTCCTCACTTTCACTCGTGTCCAGGGGCACCAAATCCCCGTGCTGTACCAGTACCTGCTCCCCTTCATTTCCGTAGTTGCTGAGTTGTGCATGTTTTTATCCCCGTGTGTCTAGTACAACAATACTCTTTTGACAGTTCCTTTCAACTTTTTTCCCAGTCTTTCTCTAAACTGTCTCCTGGGTCATATCTCCAAAACATCATTTGCAGTAGTCCATACACACCATGCTGGTAGACCTTTCCACAGCTGGCCATATTCATGCCCAGCTTTCCCATAGCATGGCACACCAAGGTCCCAGCTGGGACCTGGTCTCCACTCACGTCCACTGTCCCGCTGACTTACGTTTCAGCCATGCCACGTAGTCATCGATGTAAAGCACACCATGCTCTGCTTTGGTTTGGTCTATAATTACACTGTCTTTTTTTTTAAAGTTACAGAGATTTTTATTCAATGGTTCCTAAAAGAAATAAAACAGAAACAGCTAACAATCTGATCAAATATACAGTTCAAAAGTGTCTTTTGGCATTTAACAAGTCCTAGGAAAGAGAACTACAGAGTTATCTTGAACTAGACAAGTAAGTTACCACTGGCAAGTTTGTGGCACTGGTAAAAGAAAAATAAAAAAATTAACTCTCTTGGACATAGAGATATCTTTAAGAAAATCTTTTTTTCAATCTGTAAAAAAGGTCTTTCTTCATAAATTAATTGTTTATAATTTAATGGCTGTCTACTATGTAATGTTTAACTGATTTTCTTTTTATTTTTTCTTTTCTTTACGTACAGAGGTTATGTTTCTCAAATCTTCCCAGATGAGTATGGACTTAGTTTAGACATTTCTAGCAGCAGATTTCCCCTCCCCTCTAACTCAGCTATCAAATTTCTGTCTTAGCTAATGCAAAAATATCAAGTAGCGAGATACCCAAGTTTATAAACCAGCTAGGTACAAAGAGTGTGCTGCCTTCAGTCTGGACAATTACACTGCTTTTGATGAACATTTTAAATTAAATTTATGACTCATTTACATTAAAATTAGTGGCTTTTTAAGCATCACTAATGTTGTTTGTTAACTGCAAACTGATGGCTGGAGATCATGAGAACTTTAAAATGCCTAGATGGCAAGTAAGTGGAAACTCTCTTCCTGTTCTCTGAAGGCAGCAAAAGTATGTCTGAGAAGCTTGGTGTCCATCAGACAGTGGCGGGAGGGCACGTTTTATACTTAAGAGTGCTGACTCATTTTACTCAATAACCCAGATATTAGTGAGTATTTGTGTGTTATGCACTGAAGACCAGGGAAATAATTTGTGAGATGTACCTTTTCCTTAGAGAACTTTATAATCTGTCTTAGAAGAAGGATGAATTTACAACTAACTAAAACATAGAGTGGAAGTAGATATCATATGAGCAAGTGTTACAGGGTCTCCAAAGAATGAGATGAGGTTTTTTGGTATAGAGTTTAGGGGTAGAGTTATAGGAATGCTTACTTGATGAAGTGGCTTTTTGAGTCAAGACTGATAGCATGGGGGTGAGTTTAGCCAATCATATCAGAACTAGAAAGATGAACTAGTTTGGATTTTTAACATACAAAAGTACCAATTCCAGAGTAGTCTGAGACTAGTGAATGATGATAAGATCACTCCAGCAAGCCAGAAGTAAGATCAAATTAAAAAGAATCTCGAATACCATGCTTAAAACTTGAACTTCATTCTAAAAATAAATAAGTTCCTTTATTCTTAATTTTTCATTATTTTTAGCACAGACCTGTTTCCAACACTTTCCTCCTTTGAAGCCTTCGCTCATATTCTCTGGTCTGGGGGACCAGACCAGGGACCACTCTATGTTTTAGTTAGTTGTAAATTCATCCTTCTTCTAAGACAGATTATAAAGTTCTCTAAGGAAAAGGTACATCTCACAAATTATTTCCCTGGTCTTCAGTGCATAACACACAAATACTCACTAATATCTGGGTTATTGAGTAAAATGAGTCAGCACTCTTAAGTATAAAACGTGCCCTCCCGCCACTGTCTGATGGACAGTCTCATATTCTCTGTTCACTGTTCTACAGCTCCTTAGTCCAGCCTTTCTCAACTCACTGGAGGATGGGAAGCTGTATGCCCAAGACACACAGTCCCCCAGACCAAGAGAAATCCAGCGGGCCTAAGTGAATGGCATTGACCCCATCCCCATAATTTATAACAAGGAAGGCAAACACACTTTCAGGCCAGCATGTTTTTATTCCATGTTCCAAAGACCCCCCAACTATAGTACTTCTGATTTGGAAGAAAATTGCTAAAGGGTCTGACCTGGTCTCTACTTATTTTCATGTAGGTTACAACACAGCAAAAGGGGACTTGGTGAGATCCATCCTCTACCCCCGGCCACTGAACTTCAAACTATACAGTGAAGCCTTCAAGTTCATGGTGTTCCTGGCCTTCCTTGGAGTTTTGGGGTTTTTCTATGCCCTAGGAATATACATGTATCATGAAGTAAGTCCTGGGGATATAGCTTCTCAAGAGCTTGACCACTAATTAATTCTGATCTTATCATTCCATGAATCAGTATTAGCCAAAGAGCTTTCTTAGATGGTAGGCTTATTGCTTATCTATAATCCCTGGATGGTAGCACTTAGCCATATGAATTTATAGAGGATTTAAAATATGGCTACTATGACTGATGAAATAATTTTCATTTGTTTCATTTTAGTTAATTTAAGTTAAATAGCCACATGTGGTTAGGGACAATCCAATCACATTGTGTAGTGTAGTCATAAGAAGCTGCAAAGTCCTCTGATGGTTTCAGTCAGTTGCTTTGGATTGAGGGGCTGTCATATGCACTGCCTAACTCTGGATAGCTTTTCATGATTATGTATTTCTCAGACTTGACAAAAAGATGGGGAAGATTTAGTCAGTCAGGTCAGGTGGTAGGAAAGGCATTCTAATTTGAGTGAGCAAAGCACAAAGTCTTGAATCCAGGCAGTAATTGAGAGAGGACCCCAGCAAGGTGGGAGTAGATGAGACTGCAGGGACCTTGAATGCCACCTGCGATCTAAACTTTCCTGAAGCACTTGAAGTGTTCTAGATAATCCCCAGCCCTTTCTTATGTTTGCTGCTTGAGTTCTGAAATGAAATGTAATGTTTACTTTTACACAGTTGATTCCCTCCAGGGAATCTATAGTCAAAGATTCCTTTAAGCTATAGAGAGTCAGGTTTTATTTAGATGCCTCTTTTCAGGAATGACAGCTGGGAGGGAGAGACTGTCATTTATGACCTCTGAGGACTTTTCTGGTACTGCAGAGAGAGACAGTATAACCAGAGCCCTGCTGGTGGCCTCAGAGCACGAGGCGTGTGTGGAAGTATGCTGAGCAGAGCAGGAGTGGTCCTTGAAGGGAGGAGTGTTAAGAAGAAAGAAACTGAGTCAGTACAGGGCCGGGGCAGTTGGAATTAGCCGTCAAAATCTCCTTTGTTCTTCAGGGGGCATGGATGTTCATTTGTGGGACAGCCAGCAGAATGCTCAGCCCACCAGGAGTACAGACTCCCTAGCAGGATTCTGAGCCAGCATCTGAGGAATCTTATGGTGTTGGCAGGAAGGTGCACCCTGCTTTGCGAGGCTAACCCGTATGTGCATCCCTCCTCTCCCTAGGTCTCTTCAAGAGATACGACCACCATGGCCCTGCTCCTCCTCACTGTCACTGTTCCTCCTGTGCTGCCAGCAGCCCTGACCATCGGCACTGTGTATGCCCAGAAGAGGCTAAAGAAGAAGAAGATCTTCTGTATCTCCCCCCAGAGAATCAACATGTGTGGCCAGATAAACCTTGTGTGCTTTGACAAAGTAGGGTGCCAAACTTTCCAGACTGACAGCGGGTGATGTTGAGGACGAAAGGAGGAAGGGCCCTGGGAATGGCTAGGCTAGGGCACCCACTATACAGATGAGAAAACTGAGGCTAGAGGAGGACATTGTGAACTTTGTGAGATCCCATTCTAAAAGCTGACTCTATAGGTAGCAGTTGAGCATCCCATCAGGATTTCTCTGTGAGATTTTAGTGCTTTTTGTGTCTGCTTTGTGTTTTCAAATAGTCTCTTACTCTTTCATGATGAGCTTTCATGGTGAACTGTCTTTTTTTGGGAAAAATGTGAGAAACATTTCTATCTCATCCAATACTTTGGCCAGCACTGAAGTGAACAACTTTCTCTTCTTCCTCTGCTTTCTGTAATGGAAGGGAGGGAGTGTGCAATGGCACTGACCTTTGCTGTTTCTATGCTCCTGTCACTCTTTCCCACTCCCAGGACCACAGTATAGGGAGGATCACTTCTGTCTTAGATTCCTGGAAAGCTGGCAGAAGGGGCCTAGCTGCCAGCCTGGGAGAATCTGTGACCTTCTCAGGTTCTGGTCCCCTGTGGGGACCAGGAGAACTTTAGCTTCAGATCCTGCCCTGGCCTGGAGAGGCCAGTCTACCTGCTCTGCTACACTGGGCTTGGGATGGCCTCCCTGCCTTCAGTTCCTTTGCTCTGGAATCACTGATCCAGGCTTTGGCTGCTTTGTAGTTAACCTATGCTGACAGGGGGCCAATGGTGGGCACAGTCTGGTAGAGAGTCCCATTGATGAGCTCTTTAGGAATTCAGAGTCCATCTGAGGATGCAGAGAAACAAGACTACAGGAAACCATCATACCCTGGGGTGCAAGCACCTGGCATGGTTACCTGTTATAGTTGGGAGGTTACTTCTGAGCTGTAGTTTTGTCAGCCAGAATGGACCAGACTCCAAGGCAAGCAGATCAGAGCCCAGGCTGAGAGGAATGCGTATGTGGGCAGTGGACAGTGGGGTGTGGTCAGAAGGGCCGTCTGGAGGCTGAAGTGGCTGGGGAGAGAACGGGTACGTTTATTATTTCTTAAGCTGTGTAACATTATCATAGATGTTTTACTTATTCCATGTATTCCATCTCTGGAGCAGAGATAGCACCGAGGGCGGAAGCTACCTATGGACAGCTGAAGAGATGATTCATGATCTTAAGAGGGGACAATAGATGAGTAGAGGACAGAACAGGGAAGCACCGCGAGGAAACTGTCCTGGTTGGGGAAGTGGCACATTTCTTAGATTACTTCAGCCCTCTTTCTTTTCATGTTTATTGGACAAAGAAGGTCCTGAATGGCTATTGGTCAGGAACTGGTGTGGTTAATTAGCTACAGTTTCACTTTAGATTCAAGGGCAGATAACAACTTCTTGCATGTATTCTGACAGAAATTCCTGTTATTTATGTAACAGGAACATTTATGTCAGGAGCATGTATAAAATATGCTCACTACCTATGTATCTGTTCAAACACTTATTTTCCCCAGAGCTGCTCATCTGACTTCCTATATAGAACGTTTGCCTCTGCCTCCTCTGGTCCTTGCTGTGGGGCTGTCTGAGCCTTGCATGGATGAACTTGTCATGGAAAGGTAGCATGTTAGAGGGCAAAGAACTCTAGATTTGGAAATGGCCAAATGGGACATCAAGTCTTGAATTAGACACTAAGTTTCTGTGATATATTTTTGAGTTAGAATGGTTGAACTCTATCTCCAAGATTTTATTTTCCAGTTTTCACATTAAAAAACTCTATCAATGTGATGTTGTAATAAGAACCTCCAGAATTAATGGAATTTCCATTCAGAGTATTTCAATTCAGAAGGTGTCTATCACTGGATTTCTGAGTATATCTGTCCCCATGTATGTTTCCAGTTTATATTTAGACGTTTTCTAAATACCTGCTAGAAGTTCTCTAAGTTGAATTTTCTCTTGTTTAATTTGGCCCAAGCCTGGGCTTGTTTTACGCTAAGAGGTTTTTCCTTTCTATCTTATTTCTTTTAGAACTGCAGCTAGGAGTATGATTTGGTTTTCTTTCCATTTAGCAGTTAATTTCCTTGTCAGAGAGTCATTGTCACATAGAGAAATAACACGTTCTTATTTGTGTTTGGCTCCAGCATCGTCTCGGTTTTCTGTTTTAAATACTGATGTTTAGAAACATAATCCAGTGAACAGGAAAACCTTTTGGTTTCAAAGAAGTCGCTGACTCTCACCTCAGGCTATTTGTAAGGGAAAGCACTACTTGAGGTCCTCACACAGTGCGGGAGGGAACGGAATGAAGCAACATTTATTTATTGCTTTTTAAAAGCTGTTATTGTTCAAGGAGCAACCCATAGGAGCGCACCAGCTCTTTTCTTTATGAAGCCCAAATGAATCCATGATGAATTGTTTCTTGAATGTGAAAGCCAGAGTGGGCAATGTATTTTCACCTGAATTCATGTAACGTGGCTTGTGGAGGAAGACTGCAGAAAGGCTAGATCCAGTTCTGCCTTGCCGGCCCCCAGCCCCTGACTCCCAGCCTGTCTCTATCCTATCTGCTCAGTTGTAAGAAGGAAAGACATTGTAGGCGTTACACTGCAAACCACTACCCGGATGTGATGTGCTGCAGACACGACTTCACAGTAAACTGGAAAATTCAGGGTCTTATGCAGAGATGACTTTACAAGCCTGCATCAGAGGCTCCAGGGTGGGTGCTGGAACAGGGTATTCTGCGGTGCTTGGGCAAGCCCTGCCCCAACAACTTAGTACATGGTGAGCAGGTGACTTGGTCTGTGGTGTGCAGGCTGCTACAAAACACAGCATGCTGACGATTAATGAGTGATCTAGGAGCAATGAGGAAATTAAGAGTGCCTGGTAGCAGTCAGTTTCATTTCATGTTCTCTGTTACATTATCTGACAAATATTCTCCGTAGTACTGCACGTTGTATCCCCTGACCACTTTCCTGTGAATCCAACAATAAAACCTATTCATAGGCATTAATTAATATTTATTATTAACACTTAGTTGTCTCTATGACCTGAGAGCCCTTTATTAACATTTCATTATCAATCTGGATGATCACTATGTCACCCATATATTTAGAAAATTATGGTGAACCAGATGGCAAACTGAACTAAACAATCTTGGAAAGAGAAAAAAAAAATCCTGAACTCTGCTTTGGATACACAGCCAGCACCCACTGAAGGGTCTCACTTGAGTTGGTCCTTGTTCCATTTCCACTTAGCTTCTCCTCTAACAGCATCAGTAGACAACAGTAAACAGAAGTAACGAAACGTGCTTGCATTTTGTCACCAGTTAATAACAAGAATTTCCTGGTTTTCTACATAGTCTTTGGGGAATGGCATATCCCGGATTTAACATTCGATGCTTACAAATACATTTTGACAGCTGGATCTATGCTAATTTCTTAGAAGTTTGGATTGTGGCTCAATAACAACATTATTAAAAGCTTTAAATCATATGCTAACATCAATTCTTTTATTCAGACAGGCACTTTGACAGAAGATGGGCTTGACCTCTGGGGGACGGTCCCTACCGCTGACGGCTGGTACGTCCCTTAAGTGAAGATGTGATGTATGACAATGTGGTTGCCTTAGCAATACTCAGATCTTTCCTTCCAGCATTGAAGGATGAGGGTCGCACTAATACACACACACACACACACATACATTCTAATTTATTTGATTAAATGAGCCCTACATTCTGCATCAGGTAGAAGAAGCAAGTCCTCAGACTCCACATAAAAAAATGGAATTGAATGAGATGGATAATTAAGGAGCCAAATGAATAAAACAGAGGAGCAGAGAGTGAAATCAAGACCGTGCTTAGTTAAAGACTGCCAAGACTTCCTGGGTGGCTAGTGCAGGCAGTCGGGTGGGGTGAACCCAGGAGAGACGAGCCCATCTCCTCACCCATGGAGTTCATCGTCTAAGGATCAAAATGTGCCGACTTACTTGCCTTCCATGCACAGCATAGGCCATAGAAATTATTGTTAAGGCAGTCAGAATACAGAAGCAATAAATTTTACTTCATGTGACATATAGTCTTGATTTTTGTAATAACAAAGTGAGAAAGGCAGAAATTCATTTTGGAAAGTAGTGACTCAATGAAAACTCCCTACAAAAGATGATACTTAAGATAGTTTTGAAGGAGGGGTAGCTAGAAAATTTTAGGTGTGGGATGATGGCTGCAATTAGGAGCAGGAGAATATAATCACAGACACCAACCCCATAGCTGCCCTGGAGTGGGAGGGAAGACCTACGTCAAAGAGAGCGCTGAGCACTGGCTCCTTCCCTGCAGGGCTAAGACTTACCTTTCCAGTCTGCATGGTGAAGGTCTCTGCTGAGCACTGCATTTTGGTTTCCAACGGTCGTAGAGGCAGCTGTCAATCAGAGGAGGAGTCATGGAGATAGTGACAAGGTCAGAGGCAGGGCAGGCATAAAGTACAGCAGGAGGAAGTCATGGTGGGCTGGAGACAAGGAGCTCTACTCATGTGTCCTGCTCTTGATGGTGCAGATGTCCTGACGAGGCATTTGTACAAATAGACGGTCCTCTACAGGCCAGAGCAGCACAGGGGAAGGGGTGTTTGTGGTTTCCACCTCTCCGTGTTTCTCCCATATGCCTAGTACCCTGATGCTTTTTGGGGGGTAGAAAGAGCTAGCCACAGTCACTATTCTGCTGTAGGGTTGGAGAAGAGGGAGGTAAATCAACCTTCCGTACTGGCAAAGAGGAAAACAAGCTGTGTAGGCAATGTGTCTGCGATTGGAAGCAAACTCCAAAAGGTTGAGTAGTGAGAAACACTGAGAGCCCACACATGGTTTTACTTACCTAGAACCATCAGGCGGGTTTCTTTCAGTCATCATATTACTCCACAAACCTAGATATTACATGCTTAGGGCACGTGGTGTTTTAGAGCCAGGGCTACAGAGTTTGCCAGGGTCACTGAGCAAAAGCACTTACAATTATATCCACGTGTTCTGAAGTTATGTGTTTGACCAGTGGTAATCTCTGCCAAGGGGGAAATACCAGCTCAAGGAAGAGGTGTCTAAAGATCACTGTGTAGGCAGAAATAGTGAGGAAACAGAGAACAGGGCATTCAGGGCAGGTAACATAGCCTAGTCAGGAATAGAAATAGCAATAAATTGAATCTGACTCTAAAATCCAAAAAGAAAAGACATCAGTGGGAGGTAGCAACTGCAGGTGAGGGCGAACTGGAGCAGATGGAACCTGATTACAGGTCTGGAGGCTGAATGTCATCACTGAGAGCATGGGGAGCCACTAAAGAGTTTGTTCAGAAGAGTGTGGAAGCTGGGGTTTTACTCTACTAAGACTTAAGGGGTAGAGTGTGCAAGTCCTTTTGTTGAAGAGTTTAACTTATTACTTATCTTCTCTACCAGTTTCCAGGAAGTCCACAGATTTGGTTTGGGCAAGGCTGTACCGTGGGGCCCCCTGTGTGCAGCCATGACCAGCTGCCACTCTTTGATCCTGCTCGATGGGACCATCCAGGGGGACCCTCTGGACCTCAAGATGTTTGAAGGCACTGCCTGGGTAAGGTGATAGCTTGTTCATTTGAATGAAGAGAACCTGAAGAATCCTGACAGGGATTCCTGAAGCTTTTTCAATTTGGTTAAAATCCAGAGAAGACTCATCATAAAGAATGAATCTTCTCTGCATGAATTCTAGTCTGATCTTACTGGAAAGTTCCCACTTGTGCTCCAAAGAACTCTGTGAAGGAGTACAACAACAAATAGGGTTCTGCTACCCAATAATTTGGGGGCTATTTAAACAAAGCTAAATAGATATATGTATATATAAAATATGCTATATAATATATGTTATGTATAGCATTTGAAATATATATATATTAGGAATTGAACTCAGGACCTCATGCTTGCCAGGCAAATGTTGTACATCCCTTCCCCTTAAATTGACATTTTGACTATAGAATTTCTTTACTGTTTTGTGAAGCATTGTAGATATTCAAGATAGAATATAATATTCGACATTTACCAAGCCCATTTGACCCCCAAAATGTCATGCCATAACCTCATTCAAAGCTTCTGCAAATGCCCTTGGAGAAATGATAATCTAATGATAATCATAGTCATTCCAGCCCTTGAAACGCAGTGGTGTAACTATAGAACTGCATCATTGATATAGTTTGGGCTGGTTAATTTAAATAGTCACAGCAGCTGGGAGTTACTGTATCAGACAGCACAGGATAATGAAAGGACCTCGTTTCAACTTGTTCCATTTTCTGAGCTGAGTGAGTGATAGTTAAATGGTATAAACTTGTCCTGCAGGTACAGGCTTCCATGACAAATGGGGAGACCCTGCCTTGCACGCCTCTGTGGCTGAGTGACTCTGTCACCTCATCTGCACATTTGGGATAATAATGCTTTATTCAAGGGCTCAGGTGAACATTGGGACAGTGAACGAGAAAGGGTTTAAAGTGCAGAACTAGTAGAAAGGATTCACCCATTAGTTAACAGATTACATTCTGCATTTCCCCCTGCATTTAAAACTTTGTAAACCAAAGTTTTAAAATCACTCTCAGTAATATGCAGAATATGAGACAACATGTAAACGTGGCCATAAAAAAATGGAAACAAATTATTTCAGGGGCAGAGTGTATTCCTCATGAAGAGGCCAATGAAAGAATGTTCAGTAGGAAGATGAATGATAGCTTTCTAAAGATCTGATTAATGAAAGGGGAAATCAGGTAGAAGGAAATTTCTGAAATCACTCAGTTAAAATGAAAGTATTTGCTGTGGAAGGATTTTGGCACAAAGACAAAATAGTAAGCAGTTTCCTGGATCAGCATGGGGGAGAACTTATTACAAGAGCTGTATCCTCGATACCTTCATCAGAACTCACACAAGGAAGAGACACAGAGGCGTTGTTATTACCTGTGACTGTGATCAGGCTCCTAATAACATCCCTTCTCATTAGAGGTGGGGCAACCTACCCATTCAAATGATGTGTAAGTTTGGGATTTGTTTAAAATATAAATACTATTAGCTTGGTAAGAACTGCCAGGGAGTTGTATCTACCCCAAGCAAAGCATCATAATGGAAGATCATTCACTTAAAGCTGAGTCAGGAGCAGTCTTGAGTTAAATATAATTTATTTAGTTAAGAACTTTCCACTAACCACTAGTGGGAAGGGTAGTGTCATTATAGACTCAAGAATTTTAGCTCTAGGTTGTAACATTTTTAGAAAAAATCCCCTGAGATCTCAAAAATGAATGGAAGACCCCATAGTCAAACATGTGATAGAGTACAGGCCAATTCTATCTCCCATTTTCTGTTTCTACAGTTTATATTAGATTATATAGTTTCATCTTGATTAACTATTCCATAGTTTAATCTTGATTAACAACAGTTTCTCTACAGTATTGACTTCTGTTCTTGAAACATCCAAATAATGCAGACCTTTTTCAAATGTGCTAATTTGCCAGCAGCTAACTTGCTAACTCTCTAGCTAACTAAATTAAGCTAGTAGCATGGATATGGCATAAAGAAATAGCTTCATGTTTATCTTAGGTCACAATTCTAACTCATCCAAAAACTATTGTGCTCCCCAATATTGGAAAACGGTTCTCACATAATCCTTCTGGTGATTACTAGACATAACCACTTAACAAGAGCTGTAGACCTGGAACTAGCCCTTTTCCCATCAATTACTACTTAGAACAAATTCACAGCATTTCTTGGTTTTTGATCTTCTAGAATAAGGTCCTTTCTATAAATCAATACAGCCGAGATTTAACAGTGACTGTATTTAAAGATAATTATCTTGGAAGAGAAATGTGTGAACAGGGCTGAAAGACTTCTTCCTTCTTGTTTTTCCCCAAAGAATATTCTAAATGTTTTCACTTTATAACAGAAAATGGAAGATTGCAAGGTAGACTCCTACAACTTTGGCATGTCCAATTCAAACACAGTCATTAAACCAGGACCAAAAGCCAGTCAGGTATGATGTGCTTTTTTTTAATCATGTATTTCTTTTTCTTTAAACCTGGTGAAACTTCTCTTTCATACATTTTCCTATTCCTATTTTCTAGCTTTATCATGGTTCCATGGTTGGCTTGATGGTTCCCTCAGTCCTGAATTCATCCATTAGTCTATTTCACGGGTATTCACTGAGTGTTTATGTGTGCTAGAACACTGTGCTGGATTTCAAAAACATATGGTTGGACTCATGTTAAGGGAGCACTTAGCCTGGTATAAAATCAATACAGGGGCAGATAAGTGCAAGGCAGAGAGAGAAGTATCACAGAGGAAGTAAGCTCAGCTTGGCACAGAATGGGATTTCTCCAGGCATGGAAAGGGAAAGGATTTGCAAATGAGACAACTTGTTTAGGAAGTCTCCTTAGATGCAGCCACAAATACATCAGCATTATGACAAACATTCTGCTTCCTGATGTTGCTGGACTCATCTCAGAGTAAATCCACCCCCCGCCTCCGCTTTTTAGTGTGTGTCTGCTAAATGGCATTTAAAAGCTTCCTATCTTCCCTTTTGTTGATTCCCTTGCAGAGTCCTGTGGCAGCCATCATGATCTTGCGCCAGTTTCCGTTTTCCTCAAGTCTGCAGAGGATGTCGGTGATTGCTCAGCTGGCCAGGGAGGGTCACTTTCATGTCTACATGAAGGGTGCCCCAGAGATGGTGGCTAGATTCTGCAGATCTGAAACAGGTATGGACTCTTCTCTTGCAAGATGCAAAATCATTTTAAAGGCCAAACACGAAACAGTAACATCACAGGCAAAAGGGAGGAGGGGGAAAAAAGCATACAAATACAAAAAACTCTGCAATAAATGAATGTGGAGTAAGTCCTTTCTTAGCAGGGAAAAGCGGGGCCTAGAAGATCTTACGAGGTCAAGGGATGATGTCAAGGCATAGAGACAGAAAGTAAATGTCTGGCCATGGTCCAGCCATGAAAATACAATACAATAGGACAGCTGGGAAGGAAATGGGGCGCGAAACTTGAGAAGCCAGGTTAGGGACCAACTCAAGGTCAGAGGACCAGAGAGGGACAGGAAGGAGCCTTCAGAGATGGTGGGCCCAAGGATGAGGTCTGGGACCAGACTAATGCTACAGAGAGGGGTGCTCTGTCACTTCCAGCAGAGCTAGGAGGCAGCACTGAATCTGTGTTAGGAACTCTTCCAGATCAGTGAGAGGAGAATATGCAAAAGTTAAAGCTTTGAGCAAAAATTGTGGCTACAGTACACTAGATGAAATTAGAGAATGGTAATTGTTCACTGCACAGCAATTTTCTCTTTCTGGAGCAGACTTTGAGGTACTTTGTATTATTTCTCAGTCTTATAAACATATACACTTTGTAAGCAGCAGCCATCTTTATAAGAATGTTGTTGGATAAAATCAGTTCATTTGGATAAAACTGGCATTTTTTCCTCCTGATTTTCATCTATCATTCTCTCGTGACTGCTGATAGCCATTAATGTGTGCATGAAATTCTAGATTTTCCAAATGATTGGTCTCATTTCTCTATTTGGAGTCTTTTTTTCCCATTTTAGCCTTAGAAGGGCCCTGTGTTTTCTGAATTTGGCCTTCCACAAAGTTCCTACTAACTTGGCTTTCACAGTGATTGCAGCCCATACTCAGCTTTGTTTTGTTCTGTTTTCACTTGTACAATGAGCACATTTTGCTTCTGTTCTCTCAGTGGGGATGAGTCTGTAACCTGTCACGTGTTACCTGTATCATGGCGATTCTTTCTATTGCCCTAACCTCTGATACTTCACATTTGCAAAAACCATCTTCAGTGGTACCCTAAGGGCTTCCCTGAAATTAGAGCTCCACCTTAGGAACAGTTTAGCATCACAGAAAGCCTGAGATAAATGGAGACAGGGGAATCTGAAGGCCCTCCCTCTTTTGGATAGATGAGAAACAGGTACAGAAGAGAGACTTACATGGCTAGGGTCAGAAAGCTAGGTGGGAGTGAAGGCCAGAGATTGTTTTTCTCGTTGGACACTATACCTCCCACTGTGCTGCACGTTCTTCTGATACTCTCATAGAAAGACACATTTTAAGTATATAAATACATAAACATATTTCTATGCCACAACACACATCTATCATTTAAAGCTGGAGGTGGCAAGCTTTCCTGTGAAAAGCAAAATGGCCCATGTTCTACGGCTTTCTGTCACATGGTATCCATTATCAACTATTTAACCCTGCTGCCGTAACCCTGCAGCAGCTGTAGACAATAAACAGACAAGCGGGTCCAGCTATATTCAATGCAGTTTTCTTTACAAAATCAAGCAATGGGCCACATTTGGTAGTAGACCATTGTTTGTCAGCCCTTGTTCTAGAAGCTGGACTGTTTCTCTTATTTTGTCCAAGAGACATACGGCTGAGGTTTGAACTTATTGGACGTGGTCTGTTTCTTGGTCATCTTGAGCTCCTGTACCAAAATGCCATAGGATGGGTGGCTTAAACAACTTTACCTTGTAGAGTGCTGGAATTTGGGGTGCCAGAGATCAAAGTGCTGGTTAATTTGGTTCTTGGAGAGAGCTGTGATTCTGACTTACAAATGGCAACCTTCTTGCTATACTCAAGTGGTGGAGAGAAAGACCATCTCATGTTTATGCTCATGTCATGACCCCATTTATTAGGGTTCCCCAAGGCTCCACCTCCAAATATAATCACATTTAGTATTAAGCTTTAACATACAGATTTGGGGCCACATACTTAGTTCATAACTCGGTCAATGAGAGCATGTCTTTGGTGTTTGTTTCCATTAGAATTATAAGAATACATTGGTGAAGTTGTTTGTGGTCTTGGTCTGAAAGTGCATGTTTTCTACTAAAGCTGTTTCATGAGGTGAAAGTCAAAACAAATTCCAGAGTCGGCATCCGGGAGTCTTGCTTAGGAGTTACACAACCTTCAACATGAACTTACACTTGTCTCTTCCCTCTCTCCTGACAGTACCCAAGAACTTCCCAGAGGTGCTAAAGAGTTACACAATACAAGGATTCCGTGTTATTGCCCTTGCCCAGAAATTCCTGAGCTTGAAGAAGCTTTCAGAAGTGGAGCATTTAGCAAGGTAAGGAGTCAGAAATGGGAGCCAGGAGAGGCTCTGTGAGCATCAGGAGAAGCACCTCTTGAAGATGGAGCGCTCACATCACTGGGAGGCTCGGGAGATGGAGACCAGTCTCACTCAATTCCCTGACACAGGAAGGGGCAGTTGGAGGGGAGACTGAGGAACACTCGCTCAGGTCACAGTGCTGACTGGTGCAGAATAAAAATGGCAGCTGGGGTATCAGATACACTAATATCAGTGTATCATGCCCACTTTAGTCTCAGCTCTCATCCTTCCACAAACAGTCAGTTCTCTTTCTGTCTCTAAAATGACAGGGTTGACTTGCTTGGGTGTCCCACACATAAAGGAGGGGAAAGAGAGAGAGAAAGAGAGAGAGAGAGAGAGAGAGAGAGAGACAGAGAGAGACAGAGAGAGACAGAGAGAGAGACAGAGAGATAGAGAGAGACAGAGAGAGACAGAGAGAGACAGAGAGAGACAGAGAGAGACAGAAGAAGAAAATTTGAAAGACTTCCAGAATATTTTAGAATTGGGGATTTGGGAGGGTAGAGGAAGAGGCAACTCAATATCTCAACACAAACCTGAGTTTGTGGAGGTAATGTGTACAAAGTGATTCTTTATAAAGTAAGATTCAATATTCTTTACTACATTAAGTGGACAAATAGTCTTCATTACAGAATAATCCATGCAGCATTTTTTTCTTTCAGTGTTCTCTGGTTTTTAAAAGTTGTTTTCAAATGAATTGTGACAAAAAAAAAAGTAGAGAAATACTGTGAGAAACTGAGTAGCTGATAACCTGTGTAGTACTCATGTTTGAGTATTTGATTTACGGTGCTGATAGATTCTCATTTATATATTATTGGCATCTTCATGTGAGATATTGATATTCTTGCTTTAAAATTATTGCTTGCAATATCAGGCTCTCTAAAATAATAATAATCATTGCCCATTTCTTACTCTGCATCTGTTTCTCATCTACAAAATGTTGAACTGGATGATCTTTTAGGCAACTGTAGCCATGACATTTTAATATTTGAAATGAATCACAAAGCTCACTTTGAAATATGTGTATGACATCCTCAGATTTAGCATTCCAGGTGTTAGCTGTTCCTGAGCAAGCACAAAGCCCTATACTACGTAAGATTTTATAACTTTTCAAACAGAAATATGAATAATAAATGTTAAGGTCGTGTGTGAAGAAAAGATTTATGTAACTAGTGAGGGAGCGTAGTCATCACCCAGCTGCCCTATGCAAACACAGCTAGGTTCTCATTTAAAGCTACTCATAAAATAGACATTATTAGGAATGTAACTGTTATGTTTTGTGTTTGGATGTTCCTCCAAAGCCTCATGCAGCTGCATCTAGTGTTTGTGACTGGTTCTTTGTCTAGCCCTGGCATTGGTGGTGTGGCTGCAGCACTCACTCAGGGATAGGTAGCTGGCATGTAATATAAGGTAGGGAAGGGAAAGTGCTCTCCACTTTTGCTCTTGTTGACTGGTATGTGCTGCTGCTGTGAATGGCTGCCCTGTGCCATGCTGTCCTGCCTTGGAGCCAGCTGACTAGGGACTGAACTTTCCACCAACTGTGACCTAAAAAATCCTTTTCTTCCTTAATTTTGGGGGTTGGATATTTTGCCCCAGCAGGAGAGAAAAGTAACCAAGACAGTAACAAAATAGTAAAATAGCTCCAACCACCAGATTCTTCCAAAAGACTGTCAGGAATTTCTTAGCACTTAGTTAATATTTTGAAATAGGTTGCAAAGATGAGGATTTGTATTGGAATCAAATTTTACTTAGCAAAGATTTCCAACTAAAGAAACTTAAAAAAAATACCTCTAAAAACTTAAAGTAGGGGAAAAGGAAGTAAAAGCATTTCTTTGAGATAATTTGTAAGCCAGTATCACCTAAAACTAAAAGCAGAAGAAATACTTTATCAGGATTTTCCATTTCCTGCAAATTTTTATGGACCTTTACTAAGAATTAGACGATCAGGTGAAAATCTCGATCTCAAGAATTTTTCTATCCTAATTGGGAAAAATAGATAATAAAATAAATCTATGAAATATCATGCTATTGGTTATACTTACATGTCCTGCAGGGAGACAATCAAACAGAGTAAGAAGAGTTTAAAAAAAACAAACAGAAAGTACCATGTGGCATGGGGCGACCAAAGAAGTCCTCTTAAGAGCGACACTGCACAGACGACTGAGTAACAGTGCTGTGAGGCACCAGCCTCCCTAGGAAAAGCATCGCAGGGGACAGGGCGGTGCATTTGGAACCCTCAGCACCACGTTGCTGGAGCGCAGTACAGTAGCAGGAGGCCAGAGTGCCTGGAGCAGCACACGAGGGGAAAAGCCACAAAAGAGAAACAGAAACCTTGCTAGATTTTTGCTTTTGTTGTCTGTGCTTTTAGTGTGATATCCAAGAAATCATTGCAAACTCGCGCCAAGGCCAAGGTCAAGAAAACTTTCCTCTATGATTTCTTCTAGGAATTTCATAGTTTTGTGGTTCATTCTGAGGTTTTCAATCCAATTCCAGTTGAGTTTTGTGTACAGTGTAAGGTGAAGTCCTCTTCATGTTCTGTATGAGGATATTAGCTAAAAATTTGCTGCAAATCCAAGGAAACTATCCATGTTGAACAGAGACCCGTGGGGTAGGAGAAAATATTTGCAAACCATTTATCTTTTAATATCCAAAATGCATAAGAAACACAACTCAACAGAAAAAATAGATAAAAATGAGCCAAGGACCTGAATGCAGGTTTCCTTAAATTAACATACAAATGGTCAGCAGATGTTTGAAAAGGGACCCAACTTCACTAAGCATCACTGATATGCAAATCAGAACCTCAAGGAGACCTCTCATGCCTACTAGGATGGTAATTAAATAAAAACAAAGAAAGAAAAATGAGGCTGAGGATGTAGCCTAGTGGTTGGACACTTGCCTAAGGTCCTATGCTCAGTATTGGTAAAACAGATCAAGTATGAGGATATATACACAGTTAATGGGAATATAAAATGGTACAATTCCAAAGGAATACAGTGTGGAAGGTCCTCAAATGGTTAAAAATAGAGTGACTATGTGACCTAGCAACCCCACAATTCCTCTTCCAGGTATGTATCTAAAAGAATTGAAATCAGGCTCTCAAAGCGGGTATCTGTACTCCCAAATTCTTTACAGCATTATTTACAATAGCCAAGATACAGAAGTAGATTACATGTCTATAAGTGGATGAATAGATTTTATTTATTTATTTTTTTAATTTAAGGAGAAAAAGAAAAAAAAAACAGAAAAAGGGTACAAGTTATACAGAATTTCAGAAAAAATAAACAGTAGAAAATCACTAGTAGGAAATCAAAACAATAGATTACATATTGTTATCTTAGAAATAGTTGTCAAAGTTACAAAATTAAAGCATATAAAGTGGACTTTCAAACAGTGAGACTGCAAACAGTTTTGTTCAATGATCCAACAAAACTCAGTAATATGGTTATCTATCTCATACACTTAAATATATATGCAGTTATATTCTTTAGAGCACTTTCTTTTCCTCTCTTTTGTACAATGACAATTACACATTTTGGGTTTTATTACTCCCACAGTTCTTATTACTTTTTTTGAACAGAATAAAACCAAATGTGACATAATAGAACAGAGTCAGACAAATCAAAAGGATGGACATAATAGAGAATGTAAAAACAAAATACTAGGTGATCAACAATGGTTACCATAATGCCTCTTGCTATCTTAAAAAGAATTGCCTATGTCATCAGTTATAATAAAATTGAACAAAACAGTAAAGAATAAAACCAAAACATTGGAGATATTACAGGACTTTAAAAGAAGATAATAGTCAACTGGAATGGGCGACATAATGAATCTTACTGTCTTCACAGTTTTGCCTATACTTTTGAACTTGGTACTATCAAGCAAAGCAGAAAAGGGGAAAATCAGTCAAAGCAAGATGGTGAGGGCAATACAGGGTTTCAAGTTAATAGGAAATCAAAGTAGGTTACTATGATATATCCTGCTATTTTTTTATTTTTCCCTTAATTAAGAAGATAAAAATAAAAAAGTAAATAATTTTTAAAAAAGAGACTGAGATAAAAGAGGGCATAACAACAAAACAGCGCAGGTCCAAGCATAACCATTTAAGCAAAATAGTGTTTCACCACAAGATATGCTGACATAAAAGTAGTTACCATAGTGTCTCTTTCCTTGAAATCTTTGAGTATAACTTGATATACTGTAGCATCAAGCATATCAAGACAATGTAAAGCCATTCAAGAGAGACAGTATTACAGGGTATTTAGAACCAACTAACAGACAATGAACAATGGTTTCTGTATGATCTCATCTATAAAAGTTTTTGCTTATATTATCACATATAATAAAATCCAATAAGATACAACCTGTTAATACTGATGGAGACAGAAGAATAAAAGTTGATGGGACTTCAAAGCAAGATGATACTAAATCACCACTAGCTATTATGATGTCTTGTTTTCTCCAAAATAGCTGTTCCTACCATTCAATCTTCTCTGCCTCATTTCTGTTGAGATCTTTTTCTGTCATTTGTTGTCAGTTCTTCATTTCGCTTTCTGCTCCATTCATTGTGGCCTCTCTGCCACTGTTTCTGGAATCTTGGTATTTTCCTTTTTTAGAATATCCTGCAGTATTCTCTGTAGAGTTGAATTGGTGGTTGCAAATTCCCCTAGTTCCTCTTTATCCTGGAAGCACCTTGTTTTTCCATCAATTTCTAGGGACAGTTGGGCAGGATATATCAATCTTGGCTGGAGGTTGTTATCTTTCAAAGCTTGAATTATTTTCCCCCACGCTCTTCATGATTTGATGGTTTGTGCCAAGAAGTCTGCTGTAATTCAGATGGGTGTTCCCTTGTAAGTGATCCATTTCTTGTCTCTTACAGCTTTTAGTATTCTGTTCTTATATTGGATTTCTAGAATTTTGATTATTGTATGCCTGGGTGTAGCTCTGTTTGGGTTTTTAGTTTCCTGGTAATCTCTTTGAACCTGCTTCATGTATTCTGTTTTCTCTATTTTCTCCATCAAACAATTTTTCCCTTTTTTTTCTGTTCTTCCATTCCACCATCTGCTTTTTCTTGGGTGGTGCTTAGCATTTCTCTAACTATTCTACTTATATCTTGCTTTATTTCATTAAATACTTCATTTTTAAACTCGTCTATGAGGCTCTGGAGATATCGCTTTATGTCTATTGGTTCCGTGTCTGATACTGCATGTTTTCTGTCTTCCTTTGCATTTCTCTTTCCTGGATCAGTGTTCTCAGGATTGGGGACTGAGGATCCTTTCTTGTTCCTTCCTCTTCCCATACTTTTTGTTCCTTCCATACAAGTGAATGTAGGAGGCCCAATTTTTTTCTCTTTTTCGGTCGGTTTGTTTGAATTGCGCCGGCTAGGTGTTCCCACCCACTGCAGTGTACTAGGGAGACACAGACCTGGGCAGCCTCTGCTGGGCCTGCCCCTCCAGGTCAACCTACCAAAGGCTTCACTGTTAGGGTGCACCTCCAGGTGCTGGGACCTGGTTTGGGCGAGCCTACTGGGTCTTACTTAGCGGCATCATGCAGGCCAGGCACTCCCCACCAATCCCGCTTGAGAGGGGAATATGCGACTGAGTCACTGCAGCGTCCTGTTCCGGCAAGTCTGCCCAGTCCCAGTATGTCCTTTGCTGGAGCCTCCTCCTCTGTGAAAGGGTCCTCATCCACTCACTCACCACAAGTCGATGCAGGGCTCCCTGCTAGTCCCACTCTCAACTCCATTCGCAGATTCCTGCTCTCAGAGTTTTCGCGCGTCTCTCTCCCTGCCCAGCGGATTTGAACGCAGCAGCGGCAGCAGGAAATTCAAATTGGGGCTTCCAGAGGCGCAGGTTCCAGCTTCTGCACTGAGATTTTATCTGTTCCTGTTATAGCACCAGGATTGGATTTCCAGTTGGTTTCTCTTAGCTTAGTTCATTCCTGGGTCGGCAGGGTGTATCTCCCCTTGCTTAGGACTCCTCGTACCGCACCATTCCTGCATTTTAAGCGGGCTATCTCAGAGAGCCTCCATAGCTGCAGCTATCTATCCACCATGTTCTTCCAGAAGTCCGGGATGAACAGGTTTTAAAAACATAAAACCTGTTTGTATGCAATGGACTATTACTCAGAAGAGAAACAAATCCTGCCACATGAAACAACATGGATGAACATGGAGGACATCATGCTAAATGAAACATAACAGTCACAAAAAGAGAAATAATGCATGCTCAAACATGCGCAAAGCACCTAGGACAGTCGTACATTTAGTAGAAATAAAATGATGATTACTAAGAGTAAGGGAGAGAGAGAAATGGGAAGTTGTCTAATGGGTTAAAGCTTTATTTATGCAAGATGAATAAGTTCTAGAAATTTGTACAACACAGTGCTTCTAGTTAATGATACTGTATTGTGCATCTAAAATTTTGTTAAGAGTGGTTCTCAAATGTTCTTATCACAGAAGAAAACAAAGCAAAATTTAAAGACAGAAGCAGGAAGTCATAAGTAGGTGTAGAGGCAATGGATGTTATTATTTTGATGATGTGACGGTTTGTGCATATTTTTTCAATGTGCCAAAGCATCTATATTCAAAGTGTGCAGTTTTTGCACACCAATTACACATCAACAAACTGTTAAAATACTTAAAATGTTATGTGACTCTAACAAAAATATATAATGATCCTCTGAGAAGATGTTTGATCTTTCTTTTGGTTCTAGATATCAGCAATCCAATTTATAACAGAAAGTAATAAAGTTAAGTGATGGGAAGAGTCTTAAAAATTCCAAGTTACAGTGGATTGTCTTTTATAGCATTCTCTGTATCACTAAGGCAGGACTGATATTTGATTATTTGAATACTCATCAAAGTGTTTAATATAAAGTGTAATGAAAAATATGGTCAATGTTAAAATCGTATTGAGATATATTGCTATTAATTTCCCTCTAAATACTTCTCCTTTTGAGCACATTTCGTTCATATTCCTGCTACTTTCTGAAGCAGTTCTGGGAGTGAATATCTTTATGAGATGTTGTCAAAGATACATAGAATGCTGCTGCTGAGGGCCATCCAGTGGAAAAGCAACCTTGTGAAAACATTATGCTCTTCCCAGATCTAGCTATTCACTGGATCTGGCATTGTGTGATTTCTAGCTCTTTCTGGAAGTCAAAACAACCATGTAAACTAAACATTTTGAATCCATTCAGAACATCAGGGCAGCCACAATGGTGCAACTAAAAACACTTAGGAAGAAAAACTTCTACAGTTGCTTCAGAAAGTGTCAAGAATGATGGGATCAGTGTATTTTGAGTAAGGGAGATTAATAGCAATGCATCTTTTATTGCAATATTTTTAATAAAAATTTAAATATTCAATTGCTTCTTGTAAAACATCTAAAATACAGGTGTCTAACATTAGGTTTGCCTGGGCTGTCTGGACTAAGTATATCATAGTTAATGTATATAAGTAACAAACTTTCTTTAAAAACTATTTTTATTGTAACAGAAAAAAGACAGCATAAACATAACTATTGGACCACGCTTTTTTGACATGAGTGCAGTAATATCTTGACGGAAGTGGTAGCTGTTCTTGGTTAATTTTCCAGGTGCTCTTCAGAAGGTTTTGATCTAGTTTTATTCTTTGTGGGCTCAAGTTCTTAAACTAGTTCTTCACAAATGTATGTACTGCCAAAAAGCAATGGCTTAATAATCTGTGATTCTGAAAGGGGGTGTTTTTCTCTGGGAAGGTGAATCTTATGAAATTCTGATAGAGACATGGTTAAAGTTTTCCTTGATTTGAGTGGCTGATTGTAGCTCTGACCACTGAGAAACTGAATAAATAAGTAACATTTGTTTTTCTGTACTAGCAATATTATATATGTGATCGTAACATTGTAAGTAAAATACTATTGGATATATTGTTATACTTCCTGCCCCACAGCTGTCAGGAAACAATTTTAGCTCATTAAATTATATTTTAAAATAGCACAAACCCAAGTCTAATACTTAAATAAGAAAACGTATCTGTCTGCTTAATAACAATAGCATCTGTCTTCACAGGAGTGTGGTGGAAATAAACTGTTGGTTTTCATTATAAGCAGTGGGGTTCTTTTCCATTTAACATACACAAGCACTGTGCCACATTGGTAAAATGTAGAAAGAAATTTTAGGAAGGAGTAAAGTGAACTTTCAAGAATCCATGGCTACCTTTAATACTGATTTTCTCCTGAACCTGAAGGGAGGACGCAGAGTCAGAGCTGTCTTTTCTAGGCCTTCTCATAATGGAGAATCGCTTGAAAAAGGAAACTAAACCGGTCTTAAAGGAGCTAAGTGAGGCCCACATCAGGACTGTGATGATTACAGGTATGCTTCTTATGGAGGTCCCTCAGGTTCATTGTATCCTAACTGTAAAAACCCCAAAGAAACAAATGCTAACCCCTCCTCAAAGATGCATGAATGAGTGAGAGCATGTGACCAAGGCAGGAGGAAAACGTCCTTCTGTTGAGTTTGTTACTCTGTGGTCCTGTTACCCGTGCAGGCCTGCAGCAGGATCAGAAGCTTTGAAGATAGGAACTCTCTGTCTAATGCCTCTCCTCCTACCCAGGGTGTGCACAGGATGAGTAGAAGGGTGAGAACAGAAAGAAACCCTGTGAAACCTCTGTGTAAAGGTTGTGAGCTCTAGTTGACAATGCTCACGGCAAAAGGGCCAGGTGTAGTACCCAGTCATCAAAACCCGGCATGAGTTGGCCTTATCTAAGTGTTCTTTTCTCTGGTTAACTGGACTCCAGATCCTAAGAGTGCCTTCCTGCTTTCAGACTGGAATCATATTACGTTCACAATGATGAGCCGTGGCCTGAGGATTAGTCACTCACACACAGCTTGAGCATTTTTTCATTCACTTGTGCTTGTTTTGAAAATTCACAATGGATGAGACTTGATACTGATCATCACTGAAAAGAGATGTGAACATAGTGTTTGTGGCACTAGGGGCAGACAGTGAGACAGAAGAGAAATACTTATAAAATAAAGTAGAAACTGATGGACACACACAAAGAGCACCAAGAAAGAGTGAAGGTTGGAAGCTCAATTCTGGTTGGCTCTTAGATTTGCATTTAAAACAAGCAGAGTTTCTTTTCCTTGTAGGTGACAATCTTCAAACTGCTATTACTGTTGCAAAGAACTCTGAAATGATTCTTCCAAGTAGCCAGGTGATCATCATTGAAGCCAATGAACCAGAAGAGAGTTTTCCTGCTTCTGTGTCCTGGCAACTGGTACCTACCCAAGAGACTGAACCGGGGAAGGATGTGAGCAAACGTTAGCATTCTCTTCCACCAGCCCGGGCTGAGGGATGATGGCCCTGGCACTGTACTCCTTCTCTGCTGTAGAAGTTACCGCAGTAATAATCCCTCACATCTGCTCAGTGTGTTCAGCTTGCAAAGCACCTCCAACACCACTCCTCATTCCTGCCTGCAGCTCAGAATCACCTGAGAGGGTCTCGAGCTTCCCAGTGCAGGCTGTGATGCCTAAGTCAGAATCCCTGGGCAGCAGGTTCACATAAGCCCTTCTCTCAGAGATTCCAATGTGCAGTGAGAGTTGAGAGCTGCTGATTTATGCTCGTGCTTTCCATTGGAGCCTCATAATGACCCGATGCAGCTGGGCAAGCAATTCACTTTGTAGAAGAGAAGGCAGACTCTGAGAAGTAAGCTTGTACAAATGCAAGTCGATGAGTTGCAGAGCAGAAACCAGATGTAAGTCTGTTTGATTCCACACAAATCCATGGGCATTTAGCTTGCTCTGTGCCTGTGACATGAAGCTGACAGTCTTCTATAGCAACTGAATAGCTCTTTCATGTGATGAGAATGGGCCGGAGCCTGACATCCATTACCAAGGTGGCATCTTTGCTTTTGAGTGACTTCAAAAGAAATGGCCCTCCAGGTGCTAAATTACAGAAATGCCCCCTTGCTTCAAGCCTACCCACCTTTCAGATCATTAAATATAGAGTGCACCTTTGTGCAGTACACAGACTTCACAGCTACATGGAGTGGCCCTTTCCATGCCTGGGAAGAGGCGAGTGAGTCAGACTCAAATCCCAATCACACAGGCTATAAAAGAAAATGACACTTTGTACATTTTGGGCAGACTTCGGGTGCTAACTTCCCATGGGTCCACCCACTTCTGCATCAGTGCCTGCTTCCTGGAGCTCCCTGTGTTACAGTGCTCAGGGCCTTTACTAACTGTAGCAGAGTCCAGGTTTACTACTCACTGATGAGTTTCATACCTTTTCTGGAGACCTGGTGGGCACTGGGAGAAGCCCTAGGGTAGTATCAGTCCCTTCCTCCTACCCCTCCCTGGCCACCACACCTCTTTCTTACCTTCCTAGCATAAGCAGAAAGGACCCTGTCACTGTCCAGAGCATGGCGTTCATCAGTTGCTTTGCAATTGGAAGTGGAGGTGAGACTTTATCTTGCCTCTAATTTCAGTACTGCATGTTTATTTCTCTCAAATACTGTTTTCCTTGAGGTGAATTTTGCTAATAAAATGCTCTCCATTCTATACTAGAGTCCTACACAAACGTTGGGCCCTCTGAGGAACGGTGCATGAAAAACCATTACCTGCTAGTGATATGGTTCCCTTCCATCACTTTTTGCCTGTGATATTAAGGTTAACTGTCACCTTGAGTGGCTTGAGAACTGCCTAGGGATTAGTAAAGCTTGATTGTGGATGTCTTAGGTCATGGAGGTGTCTGTATCTGGTTGTGGGCCCCTCATTCTCTGGATCTGCTTTGCTTTGCTTCCTGGCTGCTATTATGCAAGCAGCTCTGCTGCACCAGGCCCTTCTCCCACGATGCTTCTGCATTGGGGACAATGAAGAATGAACTGAATCCCCTGAAATCATGATCCAAGCTAAACCTCCCTATTCTAAATTTTGAGCATTGGGTGTTGTCCCCTAGAGACATGAGAACTGACTAAAACATTCCCCAGCTTGGAGCCAGGTAGGGCTATGACAGAGCAAAGGGTCAAACTGACAGGTGGAAGAGAAGAGGGAAATAGTTGTGCTGATGTAATAGGACACAGGGCATGGAGGAGTATCTGGGCACTGTGAGGAGGAAATGGGTCACCTATTTTTGTAGGACCAGAACAGAGATCAAATAGCCAATGCTGAAAGAAGTTAGGCACTGACAGTAAAGAATCCGCCTACTTCATAGTGGAGAAATGGAAAATGGAGCTAATCAACAGAAGAAAGCTCAGGAACTAGAAGTTCTGTGAGAAAGAGAAGGATGAAATCAAAGATTGTTTTCTTTCTTCCTCATAATTACTCAGTGGAACATTGGGCTGATACTTCACAGTAAGGCTGGCATCACAAGCTTGATTTCTCAGGGAAAGATCCTGAGAACTGTGTTGTTAGAGTACTGCATTGTCGTTACCATGAATCACACGTTCACATGATTTGGGGGATGGAGGACATTTTTGGTATCTTCTTCTCATGGGCCAATTTTCTACAGATAAACTACGCATTTTGAATTTGCTGCTCCTCACTTTGCCATGCAACTTGAATACATTTCCTTCCATGAAACGCAGAAAGCTGAGACTTTCTTAAAGAGCTATTGTGGAAATAATACCCTTTTGATTTTAGGAAACCTATATTAATATTGGAAACAGTTCATTACCTGATGGGGCAAAAAGGAGCTATTACCATTTTGCAATGACCGGGAAATCATACCAAGTGATATACCAGCATTTCAGCAGTTTGCTTCCCAAGGTAAGTACTGGGGAAATGAAGCTTTTTGTTTTGCTCTTCACATTAGTGAGGCAAATAGGAAAGAATAATGAAATCATCACTGAAACGTCTTAGAGTTACAGTGGTGCTCCTTGACCCTTTTGGCACTAGGATTTAGTTTCATGGAAGATGATTTTTTCACAGTGGTGTGGGTGGGGTTGGCTTTAAGAGGACTGAAGTGCATTTTGTATACTGTGCATTTTATTTCTATTATTATTGCATTGGGTTCTTATAAGGAGCACACAACTTAGACCCTTCACATGCACAAGGGTCACATAGGGTTCAGACTCCTATGAGAATCTAAAGTCGCTGATGATCTGACAGGAGGTGGTGGCAACAGTCGTGAGAACAGACAAAGCTTCCTTCTCTGGCTCACCCACCCTCCACTCACCTTCTGCTTTGCAGCCTGTCTTCTTGGGAAGCTGGAGTTGGAGGATAAATAATACCCTGGAAGAGACCCTTCTTTCACAGAAGGCTCCTGGTTCTGCCTACATCTCTCTGGTCCTGCATTGTCACATGGCTTTCCCTTCAGAATTTGCGTTATTTTGTTCCCTCTCAGCCCCTAGTTTTCATTGATTCCTACCTAGAGAAGGGATTCAAGTACGCTGCCTGTTTTGAGGGTCAGTCTTTCTTTTTTAAAGCCACCAACTCATGTCAGGCTGAGCTGTATTCCCCTTCTTGCTGGACTCATAAATTACAGCAGAAGGAAACAAAGGTTCCACAGTTTACTTTCAAAACCATTTGTTACCTTGTCCTCCTTGTGTCCCTTTTAAAAATAGGGCTGCATGGGGTTGTCCTGTCGATGTGGAAGAGATAAATGGAGCACAAGCTGAGAGAAGCAGCCATCTGTTAGTGGTGCCTTAAAAACTGTCACCTTACCAGGCAAAGACTGCAGATTCTAGACCCCAAGAGCTTTGAGAGTGCTCATAGAACACGTCGTCATGGTGAGGATGGGTAGCAGGACCTTAGAGAAGTTCAGTCACTTGCCTGAAGTTTGCACAGCTAGTTGGGACACAGCTGAGAACAATATTTTGTTTCTCAACTTCTGATTTTTGGTCTTTTCTCTGCCTGTGTTGCAACTATGGAAACAGTGTATAGTAAAAGGCACTATTATTCCTGTGCTCTGCTGCTCTGCAGTTATCATTATTAATTAGAGGTCACTGCACCTTGGGAAAATGGTCTGGAAAATATAATAGAGTTGTGATGGAGGGCTTAAAATGAAAGTGCAGTATCTAGACATGAAAGCCCACATTTCCCTTTGCTGGCATTAGGTCTAATGACGTACCCCCCAATGCTCTATTAAATCAGTGCCCAGAAATGATTTTTCAGTACTTCTGAGTTTGTAAAGTTCTTCTCCTTAATCTTATTATGATCCTGCCTTTTTTCTTTAGATACTGGTGAATGGAACTGTTTTTGCAAGAATGTCTCCGGGGCAGAAATCAAGCCTTGTTGAAGAATTTCAGAAATTAAAGTAAGTGGTATGGCATGATAAAAGAATGCATTTGTTATCTAGTACTGAATAACAACATTTCCCAATCCTTAGTGGCTTAGAATGACACTGTTTATTATTTTATATTTCTGAGGGTCAGGGATCCAGGTGTGGCTCAGCTAACTCTCTGGCTCAGGGTCTGTCACAAGGCTGTCATCAGGTGTCAGCCAGCACTGCAGTCATCTAGTGCTTCTTGGAGGACAGATCTGAAATGAGCTTTGTTCACGTGTTGTGCGGTACATTCAGTTCCTGGTGGGCAATTGGACTAAGGGTCTCGGTTTGTCATTGGCTGTTGGAAGAAAGTGTCAGTTCCTTGACACCTGGACCCTTACATAAGAAAGCTCCTATCATGGCAGCTGACTTTCATTAGCATGAGGTAGCAAGAAGTGTGGGAAGGACAGGGAGAGGAAGAGGGAGAAGGAGAAGGAGAGAGAGGAAGGGAAGGGAGAGAGAGAACTGGCTGTTTCTGATGTCCTAATCTCAGCAGTGACAAGTGACATCCCACAAGGTTGCTGGCTTCTTTTCATTAGACCAGTCCACATGCAGGGAGCGGAATCCACAGTACCATTTGTACTAGGAGGTGCAGACCACTGAGGTCAGTTAGCAAGCTGTATACCCCAAACAAATCATTTCGTGACCCAAAACTGTATCTTAGAGGAAGATCTGTTTAGATGTCAAGAAAAGAAATTGCGTGTGTGTGTGTAGGGGCAGGCTGTATAACTCAGAATGGGAAAATGAGCAACTACATTATCACCTGACATTATCAGGCTGGTGCATGAGGAGGGGTGAACACTGTCCAGCCTTCTTGGCAAGAAGTGAAATGGCACCTGGCATGGATGAATTTGGAGACCAGAGTCTAAGGAGTGTCTTTTTAAAAAAAAATCTTTTGGGGTGTTGAAAGGTATCAGGAATCAAACTCATGACTTCGCACTTGCAGGGAGGCACTTGTGCCACAGAGCTAAACCTCTCTGGCCCCTAAATGTCCTTTCCCATCTCCCTCAAAACCTCAGCTGACCAAATCACAGCAGAGTGAAACTGTTCTTTTTCTTTTCTGTTTAAAAGCAAAACAGGAAAAAAGATTAAAGAAATGATACAGAATTTCAAGAAAGAAACAAAGTAGGGAGTTAACACCAGTTAACACACTGCGTATTATTATCAGAACTATTTGTTCAAGTTATGAAATCTAGACACATAAGTGATCAAACAACGACAACACAAATTGTTCTTTTTGATGAACTAGCAGATTATCTATCTAGCATACATATACATACATACCTTTATATATATTTATCAACAGACGTGTAATCTTTTCCTTCCTCTTTCCCTTTCCCCTGTCCCAGTAGTTCTATCTTTTTGAGTACTTTCTTTCCCTTTTGTTATTACAATATCTATCTATATTTTGGATCTTATTACTGTTTCATATTTTTATTATTTTTTGTACCAGGGAGACCATATGACATTTATAAATGTAAGTTTGATTTATTTATTTCACTCATGAGTATGGTCTCAAGTTGCCTCCATTTACTTATAAAAGCCTCAAGATTATCCATTTTTATAGGTGAGTAATATTTCATTGTATACAAATATACCGTATCTTTTTCTCCATTCTGTGGTTGGTCGGCATTTTGGTTGTTTTCAAGATTTAGCTATTACAAATTGTGCTGCTATAAACATGGGTGCACATATATCATGGTAGCATGACATTTTCAATTTTTCTGGGAATGTACCCAGAAGGGGAATAGATAGATTGAATAGGACCTCCAATCCTAGGTTTTTTGAGGAATCTTCACCCTGAATTCCATAGTTGTTGTGCTAGTCTACCCTCCCACCAACAGTGGAGCAGTGTTCCTTTTCCCCCACAGCCTCACCAATATTCGTCATCAGTTGATTTCTTGATGGCAGCCATTCTTTCTGGAGTGAGATGAAATCTCCGTTGTTTTAATTTGCATTTCTTGAATGACCAGTGATGTTGAGCATGTCTTCATGTATTTATTTGATATTTGTACTTCTTCATCTGAGAAGTGCGTGTTCATTTCAGTTGACCATCTTTGAAGAGGGTTTTTGAATTTGGTGGGCCTGATGTTTTTCAGTTCTTTATATGTTCTGGATATAAATCTTTTGTCTGAGGGACTGATGGCCAAAATTCTTTCTATTCAGTGAACTTGCTCTTCATTCTGTTGTTAACTTCTTTTGAAGTATAAAAACTTTTTAATAAGAGGAGATCTTAGTTGTTGCTTCTAGGAAGTACTCCCTGTGCAGTTTGCATTTTGTTCATAAACCCTTTGCCTACTCCAAGATTTCTACCTACCTGGTTTTCCAGCAGATTTAGTGTTTCTGTTTTAATATTTAGATCTTTGCGCCATTTTGACTTTAGTTTAGTGCATGGTGATAAACATAGGTCTAGTTTCAGTCTTCAGCATGTGGAAAGCCAATTTTTTCCAGCACCATTTATGAAGAGGCTATCTTTCTTCCAGTGAACATGCTTAGCCCCATTGTCAAACATAAAGTGGCTAAGTGTATTTACAGTTGTGTCTGCATCTTCTAACATGTTCCATTGACCCTCAGGTCTGTATTTTTTGGCCAGTACCATGTTGATTTTATCTCTGCAGCTTTGTAGTATAATTTCAATTCAGGGATTGTGATACCTCCTACCTTGCCTTTGTTGCCCATGATTGCCTTTGCTATTCTAGGTCTCTTCTGTTTTCAAATGAATTTTAGGAATGTTTTCTCTAGATCTGTAAGGAATGTTATTGGTATTTTGATTGGAATTACATTAAATCTGTATAAAAGTTTTGGGAGAATGGCCATTTTCACAATATTGGTGGGGCTTTTCTTTCTTGGTAAGTTTTTAATTACATTTTCAATTTCTGTAGCTGGTATTAGGCTATTCAAAGTTGTTATATCTTCTTGATTCAGTGTTGATAGGTCATACGTTTCAATAAATCTGTCCATTTTCTCTGTTTTCCACCTTATATGAGTAAAGATTTTCAAAGTAGATATTTGTGAACTTCTAAATGTCCATGGGATCTGTAGTAATTTCTTTTCATTCCTTATTGTATGAATTTGAGTTTTTTCTTTCTTTTTCTTGATAAGGTTGGCTATAGGTTTATCAATTTTAGTTATTCTCTCAAAGAACCAGCTCAATTCATTAATTTTTGTATTGTTTTCTGAGTCTCAATTGTGTTAATTTCTCCTCTGATCTTTATAATTTCCTCTATAATTTTCTCTCTTCCTTGGGACTTACTGCCTGTTCTTTTTCTAGTAGCTTGAGGTGTAGCATTAGGTTTTTATTTGTGCTCATTCTGTTTTTCTGATGTGGAATTCATTGCTATTCATTTCCCCCTTAGAACCACTTTCTTTGTGACTCACAGGTTTTGGTATGTTGTATCTGCATTTTCACTAAATTGTAGGTATTGTTTAATTTCTTCTTTAATTTCACCTGTAACCCATTGTTTGTTTAAGAGGTTGTTATTATTTATTTATTTATTTTTATTTTATTTTATTTTTTTTTGGTACTGGGGATTGAACTCATGACCTCACGTTTGCCAAGCAGGCACTTGCACCGCGGAGCTAAACCCCCAGCCCCCAAGAGGTTGTTATTTAATTTCAATGTTTTTAGGTAGGTTTTACAGTTTCTTTTGCCATTAATTTCCAATGTTAGTGCACTATAGTCAGATAATATACATGGGATAACTGCAATCCCTTTGCATTTGCTTAAGAGTGTTCTGTGGGCTAATATATGGTAGATTTTAAAGAATGTCTCGTGCAGCTGAGAAGAGTGTGTACTCTGATGTGGCTGTGTGAAACACTCTGTAAATGTCTACTAAGTCCATTTGTTCACAGATTTGATTTAGTTCTGTTATTTCTTTGCTGACTTTTTGTATAGTTGTTCTCTTTATGACCATAGGATATTAAGGTCCCCTACCACACTGTGTTATTGCATACTTGGTTTTTCCTGTCTATTAGTATTTGTCTTATATATTTGGTGCTCCTGCATTTGGTGCATATATATTTATGATTGTTAGTTGTTCCTATTGAATTATTTCCCTAACAAGTATGTAGTGACCTTCTTTATCTCTTTTGCTCATTTTTGGTTTGAATTTTACATTACCTGCAAACAGAATAACTATTCCTGCTTTTTTCTGGGTTCATATCAAATGGAATATTGTTTTCTACCCTTTGACTTTTAGTCTATGAGTTTCCTTTTGAGACAGAGGTGATTCCTATATTCAGCATATTGTTGGATCCTGCTTCTTGATCCATTCTGTCAATGTATTTCTTTTAGTTGGTGAATTGAGGCCATTTACACTGACGGCTATTACTGATATGTAATGGCTCAACTTTGACATGCTATTTTCCTGTTACTGGTTTCCCACTTTTCTCCCTTCTTTAATTGTTTGCCATATCTGGTGGTTTCTTTCTGTTGTTCTGGAAATTTTTATTATATTTTATTTTTTATTATATTTATTATATATTTTATTATTATAAAAATAGTCATTTTTATATCTATTTAGTATGTCTTTCAGTACTCTTTCTAGGGTTAGTTTGGTGGACATGAATTTCTTCAGTTGTTCTTTGTCATAGGAGTATCTTATTTCTCCATTAATTTTCAAAGAAAGTTTAGCAGGGTACATCAATATGAGTTTAAAGTTGTTTTCTTCCAAGGCTTGAAACACTTCACTTTAAGCTTGTCTTGACTTGAGGGTTTGTGGTGAGACGTCTACTGAGATTCTAGTACACTTTCCTTGATAGGTGAGTTGTGTCTTTTCTCCAACAGCTTTTAGTATTCTGTTTTCATGCTGAATTTATGGGATCTTAGTTACTATATGTCTGGGTGTAGATTTTGTTGGTTATGACTGTTTGGCATTCTATATGCCTCACTCATCTTGTATCTCATTCTTTTCCCATGTTTGGAAAATTTTCTGCTATTGCTTCTGCAAATAGTTTACCAATGTCATTTGCCTTGACTCCTGCATCTTGTTATAACATCTATCAATGTTATATTGTTTCTCTTTGCATCGTCTTGAAACTGTTGCATTGCCATTTAATGCTGTCTTGTTATTTTGAAAAGTTCTGTCCTTTCATGATTGCTAGCCGTGATTCTCTTCTCAAGATCTGAGCTTCTATCCTCAGTTTCATTCAGTTTTGCCAGCTTTTAATAGAATTTTTTTATTTCCTGAATGTCTCTGAATTGTTTTATGCATTCTGCTTCTTTTCTGTATTGTTCATTCAGAGTTTCCATAATCTACCCATGCTCCTGTACTTTTTTAAATTAATGTCTCCTCTAGCTATGCTGAGCAACTCCTTTCTTAAGGTTGTCATTTCTTTCTTTATGTGAGAGATTATTTCTAATCTGATTTCCTCCATAGTCTCATGGATTTGTTCTTTACTTCACTTGCTATCTTTTCTGAAATTTCGGTGTATGACTTCTAATGTCCTCTGTTCCAATGTCTTCTGTACTTGTTCCTGATGGACTAGACATTTGAGATTGCATTTTGCTTTTTCATTTTGTCATTTTCACCTCTTGAGTTAATATTTTGGTCTTTTCAATCCCACTAGTCTTAACTGTCCATTGTGTGTGTCTTAGGGTCCTACTGTGTGGTTGATGTTTGTCCAATTTCTGGGTCCCACAGTGAAGGGGAGGGGCCAGTCAGCTGAATTCCTCCTGCAGGGCCTGTTGGATTAGCGCTACATTCTTCCTAGGCTGACTAGCCTAGGAGTACTGATGTAAGTCAACCCTTAGTTCCTATTGTTACTATGGCTTCAGCTTGTTCCAGGCCACTAGGTCTACCTAGCCAGTGTGTACCTTAGCTGGGACCCCACTGTATCACTGGGAGTCTCATAGGCCCATTTGATTACCTCCAGGGTGGGGAGGTCTTTTTGGCACTCTCCTCAACCCACCTAGTGGTCTCTACATGGCAGATAGACTCACCCACACTCTTGCCAGTCTTGTCAAGGTCCTATGGCTGGGGCATCGGGGAGCTCATTGCTGCTCCTGTTTACCCACCGAGGTTCTCCATTTGAGGAGAAATTTACCACACTGTCACAAGCCTGCTGAGGCCCGCCATGTAGGTGAAAAGTTGCTGAGGCTCCCATCAGGCCACCAAGGTTCTGCAGGTTGTGGGAGGGGTTCCTAGTTATTCATGGGCTGTTGTGCTTTTTGGGTGGGAGGAGAAGGTGACTGAGGATCCCACTTAGCCCTAAGTCTGTGGAGCAAGGAGGGGGTGAGGCTGATGATCTGCAGACTCCTAGGTCCATGGAGTGAGGAGGAGGGGTGAGGTCAACAATCCACTGGCTCCTAGGTCCATGGAGAGAGGCTGGCCCCTAGGTCCATGGTACAAGCTAGATTGAAACTATTCTTTATGAGAAGAGAGCCACTCATTACTTGCTGGGAGTTTTACAGTTTCTTTGTACAGATTTTTAAAAAGAATGAAATGACAAAATTTTAGATAGTTGTTGATAAGTGGTAGGTGAAAGCAGGAGACTTTTACCATGGTATTCTGTTGTCCAAACATTCATAAAGAATCCTTGAACACTGCCTATTAACTCAACTAATGCTTTCAGGTTAACTGACCCATGTCTATAATGACTAGTTCATGCACGTGGTCATTACATGATTTTGGCTGAAGAAAGTAATTTACCTGTCTCAAATTCCAGAGCAATTTTGTCAACTTAAATGCTTAATTCTGAAAAGCTGTATTGGCATAAAGAAAAATTAACTCAGGAAGACATATCCTGCCTTTGTCTGAGCCGACTTCTTAATTCCCTTGTTTTCATTCTTGCACTTTTACAGTGGACAATAGCCATAAGACTGTCCAGATTCTTTTTTCTGAGTAGAAAAATGAAGCATTCCTGGTGTGATATAGAAGGCAGATATGCACTCTCCACACCTGTGGGTGATTATATCATGTCCACGCAAATATCAATGGGGTGATTTTCATCTATACTAGTCTAATGTTAGGTCAAACCATATAAATTTGTCTACATTTTGTCATTTTTGACCCTTTGAAAAGGGTCATTTCTTGTGTTCTTTCTAATAATAAAAATGTGCTATAAGACATTTATTTTTCACCTTGATTTTATAGTTATTTTATTAGTACATGTTTGCAGTGTATAATATTTACATTTCTTGTGTGGGGTTGGCTCACATACATAACACGTTTTAATTTTTTTCATATGCTTCCTGCCTCCTCTGCCTCTTGATCCCTTTCCTACTGAGAAAGATTTACCTCCCTACTTCCTATTATCTATCTTTTAATTTTCCCTTTATAATTTGGGTTTCCAGTTTAATATGTTTTTGAAAAAAGTCCCTGAATATTAGTATTACCATTAATCAACATAAATAATGTATTGCTTACTCATAATAGAAGATAGATTTTGTCTTGCATAAAATTTCCTTGCTCTGGCAATATCTTTAATTGCTAGTCTTCTATTTATAGCTTGCTTGCATATGTATTTGTTATGATAGGGAACATATTACTTCATTGTCACTCTGAAATGCATCCAGGATATTATATCTGTTAAACTGGTTCCTCAGTGTCCCTCATCCTGGTGTCTGAACTTTAAGCTCTGCTAAGAAATGTTGTAGTGGTGACTGAATACTCTTAAACTTGGCCTTGAAGGATATAGTTAAACAACTTTTCTTTGAAGTGTGATTGTTGTCTTTGCCAATGTCCTTGTTCATGCCAGTGCCATTTTAGTGTGATTGATTGAAACAATTTAAATGATGCAATGACATTTTCCCTCTAGGATTATGTCGCTTCACGCCATTTTCCTCAGCCTGGTTGCTCGTGAGTTCACACACACACACATGCACACACACACACAACGCACATATATCACATGTTTAATTATAATGGAAATGATCCCAACGGGGTATTCAGCTATGAATATTTTGTGTTGTTTCCTCTGCAGTTATTATGTGGGCATGTGTGGAGATGGAGCCAATGACTGCGGGGTGAGTAGGAATGACTTCTGCTCCTTTGAGCAGCTCAGTACCCCTTGTGAGGACTCCAAAGTCCCCTGGGGTCTGCCTCTTCATCCCTGTGCCAGCCACTGCTAGATCCCTTTGTTGAGCATCCCTTCCGCTGCCTGAATATGGGGTAGAAGTGGAGAGAAGTACAGTTAAATGGATCAGTACAGCTATTTTTGCAACCTTCCCACTGAGTTTCCTATATTTCAGACTCAGAAGTAACTTGATATAATGAGTTGGTTTCAATCTTCTGTTATCAGTAAAGGAATGGAGAGAATGAATATGCATTGTGCACATGTGTACATATACCAACTCCTCACAATGAATGTTATCATTATGTACTGTGAATGTGGACTTAAAAAATAAGAAAGACGTGGAGGCTCTGGGAAGGAGGTAAAGTTTTTCCCTGAAGGCAAACAACTGATAAAGTCTTCATTTAGAAAAAGCTTGAAACTGATCATAAAAACTTTGAACCTTGTGTAAATTGTATCTATAAAACTTCTACTCTGGGGTTAATTTTTAAAAGTTACCTTTACCAAGAACTCTTAGTGAAATCCTAGAATTCTTAGTTATTTCATATTGTCACACACCCTTAAATGAATGATGCTCATAAGATTCCTTAAGCAGAGTAAAATAATACATATTTTTGATTTTGAGTTCTATGCATGGCTGACACAACAGTCTACTTTGAATGTTGTATGCATAAGTAGATTTTTAGTAGTACAGCTATTTTTGGCAACCCTTAGAACAATAAAACAAGGGAAACACCTCTGAGTTCTCTATATTTCAGACCCAGAAGTAACACTTGCCTTCCACATGCAAGGCTCCTATTTCAATCCCAAGTACCACAAAAGAAAAACAATTGAAGAGATTGGAAAGATCTAAGTGTCTTTTTTACTTTCTTCTTAACTATTCTCTTCTAAGGCCTGTGAAAATTTGTTCATACTGAGATTTATTATAAGTTCTTCTGTGTTGTTTTGTGAGAAGAAGCTAGAGCTGTTTGTTACTCCCTTCTTAAAACCTAGAATGCATACTCATGATTAATTTTATGGACCTAATGCAAAGATATCAAATACTACAAAAGGCATGGTCTCAGCTCCCTAAGGAGTTCATTGCTTGGGAGGATGAAAGAATCATGCATAAAATGAATTCTAGCATATGATAGATGATTTCAAATTATATACTAGTGATATAAAATACAGAAGGAGAAAAGAAAATGAAGGAAATATTCTTTTTATTGAACTTGACTCTACTATACATCAACTATGTTCAGAACTACATAAATATAAAATATCATTTTATGCTCACACAATTTTTCTAGGATTTGGGCTTTTCTGGTCTGTGCACTGACCAGTCTGCTCTATGTACTGTCTGGACAGTGTTAGTCTTGATGAGAAGTGAGCTATCCCTTATTTCAGTGAGGCAATCTGTATGTTTCAGTGAGCCTGAGATAAGTGTGATCTGATCCCTGCCTCCAGTGATGATGCTTTATGTTGCTGTCAGCAGTTAGTTGGTCAGCTAGATGGAATAGAAAAAGGGGGAGATTAGCTCTCTTTCCACATCTGTTGTGAAGACAACCTGGTAAGTGCAAGAACTGAGGGGGTAAAAGTTCCCCAAACAATCTTCATCCAAATTCTGTCATTTTTAAATAGACTTTTGACATACAATACCTTGCCAGAGCTAACAGGTATGGAGATGCATGCACACATATGCATACAGGCACATGCACACACACACACACACACACACACAGATGCACACACCACCACCACCACCTTTCTACCTCTGGATCACTGCTTAGTTGGTGCCTCTTTCACTGGTGACTACGGGTAAGTGAGGCAGACCATTCCAGATGGAATGAAAACATGAACAGAGACACAGAGAAGGATGCATACAGTGTTATGATTCTAGAATACAAAGAACAGCCTCTTCTCTTGGTGATGAAGTAGTGAGACAGAGGCCAGAAAAGGGATGACATGAATGGCTCATTCCAGGCGCTGAAAATGGCTCATGCAGGCATCTCGCTGTCAGAGCAGGAAGCGTCCGTTGCATCCCCCTTCACCTCCAAGACAGCCAACATCGAGTGTGTGCCTCATCTCATCAGGTAAGTCTGTCCTTCCTCTTTCACCCTGTGGGCAGTGGGATCGTTATTTGGCACTGGAAACAGATGGAATTCAGTGCTGACTTAGCCCCAGGGAGTGCAGGTGCATGCTGTTGAAGCACCATGAAGGGGGAGATTGGTACTGAAGGGGAATGCTGGCAAACAAAACAAAACAAAACAAAACAAAACACTACCAAAAAGTGAGTTTCCCTGAGCCCCAAAGAACAAGTGGGTACATCTCATGGACAGCTGACAGCTTGATGTAGTATTTCCAACCCGTTTGCATTTCTTCTACTCTCTTTTCTTTCATTGATGGGTATATACTCAGTTTAGGATGGGCGAGAAAGGCAGAAGAGGGACATTTACTAGATAGTTTTCTCCAGTATTGTAGGTCTCCAAGATGAAAATTAGCAAATACCCAAAACTTTCACATAGACAATATTACAGTTGATTAGGGAAAGGCAAGGAAGTAAGAATAATCTATTTTTCCACTAGAAAACCCTCACTCCCTGCTCATTTCTGCTAGTATTATGCAGTTAACAGTAAAACATTTTAGGTTTTATCTGTTTGTTGTTTCCTGGAGCACCTGGCAGGGCAGCATCATGGTTGGTGGTCTGGAAGTTGTCACTGAATTTTGAATACTGTACAGAAAAAAACAAACATGAAATTCCGTAGAACATCCTGTGGGGCATTAGAATGACCAGGTCATGAAACTGCACACCCTGACTTCATATAAACCAGGCAGCTTGCACACCTACCAGAATCATCAAAGCCATCCCCGCTCCAGGCCCAACATGAATCTACTTCCCAACTCCACATTCCCTGCTTTGAAGGCAGGGACTTGGTCCTTATTATCTGTCATGGAGGCTCAGAAGCTCAGAATGCTTTCTTTAACTCTTTCCTTTCCTTGACCAGTTACCAATCTGGCAGTATGCCTTACTGATTTGCCTTTGTACAGTCTTCCTAAGCCTTTTTCTTACCATCTCAATTGTCTTAACCTTGTTTTGTGTCATGGTGACTATACAGTAATAAGATAGATACTATGATTTCCAATATCAATACAACTCATTTTTAAATGAGCTCTTTTTGAATATTGTTCTTAGAAATATGATGCATAAAGAATGATTATAATATACATAAATATATGCATATAAAATATATGTGTATAATATATATGAACAATCACAGCACAGAGAATCCTGTACCTGATGCATGTTGAGATATGTTCAATAAACTTGCTTAAAATAAATTAATGTCCAGAAAATACAATAGATGGTCCAGTTGTTGGGCGTAAGGAGTTGAGCCAGGTTAGAGGGTTTCAGTGACCAAGCAGTTGAACAGGACTTGTATGCCCAGAATGGAGATAGGAGCTATTATGGCTTGTGTCTAAATGTCCCCCTGAAACATCATGCAGTCACACGTGGGGCTTTTACAGAGGTGGCTAGATTAAGGGTGTGAGGGCTACTTACCCTAACTAACCTGGATGAAATATTAGAGATAGAGCTTCAGTTGTCCATTGTTGCTTTGATACGTTCTGTCCACAATGAACTGTTTCTCCCCTACAATCCCTGTGTGCCATGTCACCTTACCTTAGAGCCAACTGATCATGGTCCGAAACCTCCATAAACTGTCATCCAATAAAACCTTTTCCCCTTTAACTTTGTGTCTCAGTTATTTTGTCTCAGCAATGAGAAAAGTAACTAACCCAGAGGGAATTCTAGATGGAGGAAATGAGAATGGCATGTTTGGAAAGGCTTGTGACTGGACAGTCAGCTGAGGGACTAGTTAGGGCTGAGTGGAATTGTCGGGTGGCAGTTACGGAGGCAGAGCTGGAGATCCAGGAGTGGAAGGCTTACCTAAAGAGAGTGACCTTCCAGATGGTTATTTGAAGTGGCATCCTGGTCATTCCAAAGTGCGGAACTTCAGATCTTCCTCATGCACATGGTCCAATGCATTTATGAATGCAACTTACTGATTTTGTATTTCACAGATTCATAAAAATTAGATACGGGTTAGCTGTGTTAGGCCCACTTTACCCTTTGCTCTCTTTGATGCCTGCTTATTTCTGACTAGAGAACACTCAAGAGGAGCAAGGAGATACACATTTAAATGCGCAAGTCCGGATTCGCAGGTGTGAGACATAATTCGCTTGTTTAGCTCAAGGACCTTAGGGCAGATGTTCTGTCTTACTACTTATTACTGTGCAAAGCACCGCGCCTCCCACTAACCTCGGTACACCTGAGCATTGGAAGGGTGTTTGTGGGACACATGAATAAATGTGTGAACCGCTCAAAATTCATAATCTTGAAAGATAGCAGTAATTTCCAAGGACCACGCAAGCACTCTGTTCATTACTTAGAGTGGTTTTTGTTTTTGTTTGCACTTTACTTCTTTCCTTTGAATCTGGTTGTTATTTTCCTGAAAATACACAAAACTGTAGAGAAAGAATGAAGTCACGATGTTTGTGTCAGACTTGGAAGAAAAATACAGGCTTCACATGCTTGCTAACTTGTCTCCTGTTCCATTCTCTGTGTTGAAAATACATGGCAATGCCTTACGGCCTGTTGGAAAACGTCTGCCCAAGCACCCCAGCCCAATCTCCCAGCTAACTCCCCCACCCTGCCTGAGGCACAGTGGTTAGTAGTTGGCTATGTTTCCCTTTCCTGTCCGTCTGGTTAACAATATATTAAAACAGAGCAAGTGGCCAAGTCAGTTGGACCAAGAAATGAAGTGGAAGTGGTTCTCTCACATACAGATTCATTTCTGCCTGACTAACGCAGGCTGCAGGACCTTCAGGCAGTCTGCTTCCTTCTGGCTGTCACCACCCAAAAGACCTTAAGAGAGTAACAACTCACATGAAACTTTTGAAATATGGGAAGTATCTACTTTCAAAGCTGCAGTTCTCAAATGCATTCTTGATCGCTTGATCTCCACACCAGCTCAGGTTACTACCTTGGGTACTTCCTGAATTACCAAGGGTAACAAAACTTATTCCTTCTCAAATGTTGGAATTGCAGCCATGCTTCCTACAATGTGAGATCACCAAGCATCCTTTAGTCTCATGTCTCGAAAGACCTCTGAAACGCACACAGAAATTTTCAGGAAGCATGTGTTAACTTCAAGTCACAATCAAGCCAATGCTGGACATTTTGCATCTATCTTATTGTTGCACTGTGTTTATAATATACCTGGTAATCTGCTTTCTTCAAGAAAGGAATCATGCTTGATTCACTTACATTATCCATGACATTTAGTATTCTGCTATCACCTTGTAAGACCTACATAAAAGTGAATCAAGAATCAGGCAGGGAGCTGATGGCTGAAGGAGAGAATACAGGAGCAAATGACTGATAGCCTAAGCAGTTGAGAGGATGAATCAATGATACAATGAATGCATATCAATAGGCTAGTAAAAATCAAACTCCTTTGGAATATAGAAAAGACTATTATGCATTTAATACATAACAAAATGCATTTTATTTATGCATTTATGTATTTGTTATTTTTTTCAAACAGAGAAGGCCGAGCTGCTCTGGTTTCATCCTTTGGAGTGTTTAAATACTTGACCATGTATGGAATAGTCCAGTTTATTGGAATATTACTACTCTATTGGGTATGAACAAAAATCACTTCTTTTCAGTTCTCATTATATTTAGATCCATGCTTCATTCTTGGGGGTGTGGCTTTGATACAGCATTTTATGTCTTGCAATAGATGACATTTCTTGAATTAGATGCCTATGTGCTGGGGAACCTAGTATAATGATGCATCAAGTGTGAAGGTAAATATTAGTAGATATGGATTCGTCTCCTATGGTGTTATTTTGCTCTGGATAGCCTGAGACTCTTGGCCTCTCTAAGCCCAGTTTCTTCCCCTGGAGTGTAAAGAGAGTTTCAAAGCAGCCTAAATATAACTCAGCAGGAAGTGGATCAATCTCCAACTGTGGAATATTTGTGATAAAAGACTGAGAACAGGTTAAAAGGAAGAGAAATTATTGGATTTGATTTTGAAGGACTAGAATATTAAAAATGTCTCATACTGGAGATTTATTCCTGAATCATTCACTTAAACAGATGAACATACAGTTGGGAAAAGATGATTAATATTTTAATCCTGGAAAATTCTTAAAATTCAGTGATAATAAGCATGCAATTCCACAATGACTTACTCATTTCTAAGATGGAATTAATTCAAATAATAGAAAATAGTGATCCAATTTCATTCCATTCAATGAGATGCCAAGGATTTGAGTTATGTAATTTCTTCCTAGAAAGGTGAGAAAAATACTAGTTGCCTTCTAACTGCTTTGAAAAGAATGTTGGAAATGATAAAAATGCTTCCATGTCAGAAGTCACACTTATATTTACCTTTCTTTCTTTTTCAGCAACTACAAATCTTTGGGAATTACCAGTATCTCATGCAAGATATAGCCATTACTTTGATGGTCTGTTTAACAAGTAAGACTTTTAGCAAAGAAAAGTGTTCATTTTTATCTGTAAAAGTCTACAAATGCATCAATAAGAGCTTCTGAGAAAATGGTACTCTAATTGCTGAAACCTTATTGTCTCTGAATTTTTTAAAGTGGTGCTGGGAATGGGTTGAAGTTTGAAATCCCAACTTTTCAGGAAAATGTCCCTGATAAGAACTAGGTCTTAGCCTCAAAAACTTGTCAACATATTCAGTGTATCCTGTGCTCTTTGTAGTTTGTGTCTTGTGCATAGAAAAATGAATAAGAGATGGGTTTTTGTAAAACCTAAAGGTCACTTTCCATTATTCAGCTATGCTTCATATTGACATAAAACTTGGTCTTTGCTGGGTCTTTGCCGTGTGAGAACAAATTCTAATATTTTGTTCTAGTGAAATTCTCTTAAAAGCAAGGTTTGGCTTACATCAACCATTGCTTATTTCCTTCCTTTGAGATGACATTGATAAAATATTTCCAATCAAGGAATTCGGGTCTTGATATTAACTCTTAATAAGTGAAAAGGTTACTGCCTCAACAGAAAATAAAGAAAAAGAATGTCATTGTCATCTCCTTTTTTTGGTCTAACAATGGAGTGCTATGAAAAATAACAGATAAAACATCAGCCACTGCAAGCTATTAATAACCTTGAGAATTTCATGTAGCAACTTAAAACATGAAACTGGTATTGAAGTCATTTATTACATAAAACCAGTGACAGGACTTACCAGTATCACAGATGTAAGCAATATCAATTTTGATTATTAGGGTTGGGATGTCTCTTTATAGCCTATTAAATATTTTTCTACATGTTATTGCTATTCATATGGCTGGACAATTTTGAATCAGTGATGTTTCATCTATGATGTTTGATATTTTGAAGCAATTTACATGATTTGTTTGTGAATGATGGTGAAAAGCCAAAGGAAAACTAGAAATTTTCAAGAACTAAGCTATCCCACAGTGGCACAAGAATGATGTCATGGCCCTCCATCACCATGCCCTGCTCTGTGACCTTTGCTGGAAAGTTACTTAAGAAATAAATAATTTTCTAATGTGAAATGTTTTTGTAAAGTCCTGGAGATCAGGGGGGAAATGGTGCCTAAGGAATATAAATTACTATGCAGCTTACCCTAAGCATTCCTAGCAAGTTGAGTGACCTTCCACTGGACCTCTTCTCTTTGTCTTCTTTTGAGAAGGCTGGTTAGCATTGGAAATACTTGAAATACATCAGAATGGATTCAGGTATACTGGTGCCCCTAGAAACTCCAAAACTTGAGCATCAGTTCTGGTCTTGTCTCAGAATTGTTTGATGACCTGGAGCAGGTGTTCTAAGATTTTACACACTTAATTTCTTGATATTGGTTATTGGTAGTGGAGCCATGGTGATAGTCTGTTGACCGTCGTGCTGCCTGGTCACTCTTGAATGATCCATCATTCAGCATGGACTCAATGAGTGGTAGGATAACCCAGAGCAGGGTTGCGATGATCTCTAGCGGAAGATAGCCTTAGGAGGGGGGAGATCTAAAACATAATGTCCCATCAGAATGGCAGCACTTTATCTAGTTAGAAACCCTGTAGCTGGCTTGGAAGGTGGGAAGAGCTCTGAGGAGGTGGGTGAAGGTGAGAGCAGAAGCAGGAAATGGGTGTTTTTGTTTGCTCATTATCCTCTGACTTCAAACATGGTTTTCTCACCCTGCACACTCAGTCATCCCAAAGGCAGATTAGTTTCTGGACAATTCGAGGGATTAAAATTATCTCATCCTTTGCTATGAAAAACCCCAGTATCATAAAGTAATATTGCACATTTATATCTAATTCAAAGCTTTTCTTTCTGTAGATCAAGCCTGATCTATGGCTTGCAGCAAGCAGTGGGAGTGAAAGGAAATGCAGTATCTGAATTCCCTCATGTCACACATTCTCCAACCCCGTTCTAGGGAATACAAACGAGAAGAGAGTATTTGTAACTTAACTGAGGGTTCATGAGAGGCCCTAATATGACAGAGGCCTTAATATAGCAGGCATCTGAACTCAGGTGATCTGTACAGGCTCACTTCAGGGCTTCCCTGTGGAATGGTCTAGATGATAGCTCCCTGCCAGGGCTTCTGCTCTTCCCTCTGACCCCTCAGGAATATTTTCTGCAGCTGTCTAGCTGCTTAAAGTCTAGCAGTTCACACCACTGGGCACTGCTACCAGAATCGCTCTACTTTCCTGGCTTCTACTTGACCTACCAACTGTAGTGTTGTAGCTTCCTCTTTCTTCTTGCTGCTTTTTCTCTTCCCACCGTATTAAAGTAGGGAAGCAGTGATAAAAGCTATCTGCTTCTCCCCAAACAATCCCCAGTCTCACATACAGTGGTTCTTATGACTTTCCTTTATTGAGCTGTGGCAATGCAAGAAGAAAATAATAGTTCATGCTACTCCTAACAATTCCCATTAAAGAATCCTTTGAGAATCTCTGTAGTTTTCTTTTGGGGCGTCAATACATAGACAATTGAGATGGAGGAGTCATGCATATTGCTGAAGGACAAACGTGGATCTCTCTTATAAATTAGTGAAGATGTCGTGATCATCTCTCTTCACAATAAATTGGACTTACCATTTACTGTTCTCAAATGTGAGGCTTGCAAAACTCTTCTCAAACAGGAAAAACACAATTCAACATCCTGTTACATTAATGTTCTTTTCTTACTCTGTGTTGTACATACAGGTGCATAAAAAGGCTGATAGCTAAAGTTTTGGGTTTAATGAGAGATATACATAGATGAATGACACACAAATCCTAATTACTGAATAGTAGAAAATACCAGATGCTCTGGAAGTTCAGAGTAAGGAGACATTGCTTTTTGAATGAGGAAGATATAGTAATGGAGAAAGGAGAAAGGTAGGGATAACTTCCTGGAATAAGTAATACCCTCACTTATATAGAAAGGATGGATAGATCTCAGAAATTTGCTGAAAGGGCATTTCAAGAAGAGGGAAGCAGCCTGAGCAATTGAGTTGCTAAATATGAGGTATGAGCTTTTCAATTCGACCACACTGCAGCTATGTGGAAATAAGCAGTAGGAGACACGGACACTGTTTGTAAAGGTGAGGTGGTCCAGTCACAGAGAGTTCTGACGGCCAGGCTGAGATCTGTGCCCATTCATCTGCAGCCCTTGGGAGTCACTGGCAATTAGATGTGACCACTGTCAAATGACTCTCATCAAAGCTCCTTGCTTCTCAGGTTTTCAGGTAAAGACATCGTACTTAGAAAAGACAATACTATCACATATGAAATTAATTTACTTACCTGCTTTGTTCCCATATTTTTAAGGCAACAAAAGCAGCTAAAGAGGTATAATGCTTTAAAGAGAAAAATCTAGAAGAAAAACACAATAAAGTCAGGAGGAAGTCAGTTAATTAGGAAAATACATATCTTGAAGTCCAGTTTAACCTTCTCTGAGTAGCAGCCATCTCGAAGATTTGTGCTAACATCTCTGTCCTCTTTGATAAGAGCCACTTGAGTTAGATCAAGAAAATAAAGGAGGAAACAAATGAAAATATAATTCTCAAAAAAGAAGAGAAGAGAAAGGCTAAAGCACCTGGGCGGTAGGAAGAACAGGGTACAAATGACCCCTTCCCAAACCAAATCACTTTGTTTATTTCCAATTATCTTTATGCCCTCTTCTTTTTTTCTCATTGTTATAATTTTCATCTGATTTCTACCCCTTTGTCTTACAAATGTCTCCCCAAAGTGATGCTGGAGTGAGACTCCATAGCCTTTCTGTTTGTTCCCTATAGTTAATGAACTCAGTCTTTTATTTTCCATTTGCCAGTATTTGGGAGAGAAAAATTATTGATTTAATTTTGGTGTGATACCAACTTCTAGGACACTGTTTTTATGAAAGAAGGGGCCTTTGTACAATTCAGCTTTATTTCAGTCAAATACTCCACAAGAGGAGACAATATTCAGGGAAGGAGGCGTGCCAGGAAACTTCTTCCTTACGTAAATACACCTCTTACTCAAATCCCATCAGTGTTTCACTGAGTCTGAACCTTTTCTGGTTAGAACTCCTCGGAGAATCTGGTGGAAGATATAGATCTTTCCACTTCATAAATCTCAGTCTGCACACTTAAGAATTTTGCATTCAGCTAGGTGGGTTTATGGGCCTCTGGATGTTTGAATTACGTGATTTGCAGTGTGCACAATATAAAGTAAATCAACTACCAGACCCTCAAATGATGCTGAGCAATTCAAAATTATACTTCGAGAGAAGAATTTGAAATGGCAAATTCCTCCCAGATAGTAGGCCCTGTGCTAAGGTTAGTGTGGACCAAAAAGCAGAAGGAGCAGGGTTTCTCTTTCAGGACACTCACATTCTGCACAGGGCACATGTAAGTAACCAGATTGAATTGCACTCTAGCAGCAATAGGACGGATGTGCTATGGGGTTCAGAGGAGGGGATGATTCTACTGAATAAAACAGAGTATTTCACAAATTTGCTTTCCTCTGCACACAATGTGATGACACGTATCCTTGTCATTTTCAGGAAATCTGGATAATTTAGAGAAGTTCTTCTGGCTATGGACAAACAGTATTTCAGGGTTCCTCACTGTGTTCCCTTGGTACAGGAAGCCCATAGCCATGCAGAATGCTGTAGCGTGGAGAACATGGGACTCTGTGGTCAGACAGGCATCATCATTCTGTGAGCTGCTCAGGGTCTTCAGGTGGAAGACTCCACCTCTGAGGGCCTCAGTTTCTCCTTCTGTAAAATGTATCCCTTTTCCATTGCTTTCTAAGGAAATGCAAATAATGTCCCTGAAACACTTGGCACACTGTGTGGAACCTAATAGGTGCCCTAAGGTGTGGTCATGATTTTTATATTTATTTATGGCTGGAAATACAGACTCCTTGTTAGAATTAGTAGAAGTCTCTAATGTGAAAGAAGTGAAAGTACCCTGGGTAAGGACACCGACGGGCTACGGCCACGGTAATGCTGCATAGCAATGCACTCCTAACCTTAGCAGTTTATTCCAAGTTCCCTGCACTCATGGGCCTAAACTGACTGTCATTCAGTTGATCTAGGCTGCTCATCCAAGCTGCTCTGTGTGGGGATATAGATCATGTGGTATTAGTCAAGCTATGAAGTTTGTTTTGGCTCTATCTATGTGTTACATTCTAGAAGCAGAGTCAATAGGCCAACAGGGCGTACTTTCACTGAGAATCACAGAGAGCAAGACAACTGATGAAGGGATGCTTGAAACCAACACTATCATCTCCTTGGCCAGAACCACATAGTGAAGCCCAGATAACTCCAGTTCTGTGAAGCCAATAATTTAGCCGAACACAGTTCTGGTATAAAAACAAACAAAACAGAAGGCCATAAACTAAGGGAGGATGTATGAGAGAGACGAGTGATGAAGCAGAGGCCAGAGATGTGATTACACCCTCTTCTGGACTCATGGCTCCTTCCTGAGCTCTCAGACACGTTGGTTTTGAATACTGGGGTGCCAAGAGAAGAATGCACTTTTGCCTCCATCTTGTGTGATCTAGGAGCACGGTCTCCTTGCACTCTCTTTAGCAATGACCACGGTCTACGGACACCGAAATCAACCCAATGAATTCTGAGTTAGGCCAAACACCGCAAGCCAAAGCTGCAGCCTCTACAAAATTGCCTTTGTTTTAGATATTATCCATAAGCTCCGGGGTCCCTCTGTCACCTGCAATTCTAACTGGCTACAAAGTTAGGGGTTCCTACTACCTCAAAGTTTCAGAAATTTGCTTCAACTCACAGAGCTCAAAGAATTTCTATACTTAGGATTACAGTTGTATTAAGATCAAAAGATTATAAATTAAAACCAGTTAAAGGTACAGATGCTTGAAATAAAGTCTGGAGACGGTCCCGATGTGACTTCTTTGATCCTTTCCCTGTGCTGTCAGGATGTTTCACTATCTTGGTACAGATATGTGACAGTGAGCGGAGTACTTCCACCTATAGAAGGGAAACTGAACGTCAGAGACTATAAAGCTTTTACTGAGATTTCATTATGCAAACATGACGATGGGACTGTTGACCACAGGTAGAACTGAATCTCCACTTTCCAGTTCTCTTGGAGGTCAGGCTGAGATGTGTCTCAGAATCTCAGCCTTCCAATCATCCTTTAGTCTTTGGAGTATGACCAGCCCCATTGCTGAATACTTTTATTAGTGTCAATTCTTTTCATATCCACCATCAGTCATTTTGGCATAAACTGCCAGGGACCCTCACTATGTAAAAGAAAAAGACTCTTGTTACTCAGGAAATGTCAGAACTTCAGAGAAACATCAGAGGAACTGGGAACAAAGTTCATTATTACATAGTCTACCTGTGTCTGTCACTGGACATCAAATTCTTTGAGGGAAGAGGCGATGGTCCTTCTACCCCTCAGACTCCATGTTCTCTAACCCAGCTCCTTGCTGAAAGACACTGATTTCACAGTGAAGTCATAGTCATTGTGCTTCAGAATAAGTGAGTTTGACAGGCTTGTGGATGACAGACAAACATTTCAACCAACTCACTTTATACATAAAAATGAAGAACCAAAGAGTGTGCAGGATTATCCTAGAGTACACATTGAACAAAGCAAGACCTACTTTAGAGTTTTATTATCCCAAACTCCATTCTGGTTCCCTACCACCTGACCCTGCATGAATGACCCAAATCTAAGCATTCTTTCCTCTTTACGTCAGAAAAATCAGAGATAACCTGTGAAAAGGGAAATGGTAGCAGATAGGAAGACAGGGACTGAAACATGACTATGCCGTGTCCATTTTTAAATGTGATTCTTTTCATTCTCACTACTTGTGCTTCTTTCCTGCTCTTCCCTGAGAAGTACATTTCTGTCATCCTCTTGCTAGAATATGTAGCTCCCCAAAAGAATGATTCCCTTTTTAAGTTGTTTTTAATGAACCATTTCAGTACCTTTAAGTTAAAAAATAAATCCTTAAATCAAAAATATATTTTCAAACCATCATAAAGAAGTTTTTAAAATATTTTTCCCTTTGTATGGCCAGACCCCAGTAATATTATTGATATAAAATATTGAGTAATATTATTGATACAAAAACAGAATATATGCTAACAGTCCCCCCTTTACATATAGATCCAGGAAGGAACAGAATATACCTTCAGCATCTATCACAATTTCTGCTGGATGGAGTGGATCATTGACTAAATGACTAATCAAATTCCTTTTATGAATTTCCCAGTGTATGAAGACAGGGCTAGCTAGATGCCTGCCTATTCTTCTCATCCTAATTCTGTACATTCCTGTCAATATTGTGAGCTAATGTGGACACATTTTATTCCATTTGGTGGATCATCTTCCTCTTTTGCACATCATCTTTGGTTAGTCTGGCCAGAGAAAGAGTATTTGCACCAAGTGATACAGTAACTGTATTAGTCACAGGACTTTGTGGCCCGTTACTTTCCATTTCCGAAGGAGAAGCTATAGCATGGAAGAGATGCAGCTGTTAGAATTGGATGTGCAACTAAGTAAACCCCTTATGGGAATCAATATTCAGCCAAGGCTTGCTCAACCTGAATCCTAAGGCAAAACCCAAGTGCAGTAATGCGCATCTCAATCTTTTATTCTCAACCATGCAACGTTTAAGGGCAAAATGCTCCTGTCTTTCAGTGAGTTCAACTGACGCCTACCCCAAGCTGGCTCCCTACAGACCCGCAGGACAGCTGTTTTCTCCCACTTTGCTGCTTTCTGTCTTCCTGAATTCCTGTTTCTCCTGCATCGTGCAGGTGTGTGCATTTTTCTACGTGAAGCAGCAGCCTTGGTATTGTGAGGTCTACCGCTACAGGTGAGCTCATGTTCTTAGTTTTTGAAATGGATATGGTAATTCTTCACTGATACTGCCCAACTTTGGTTTCAAGTTCTAAAATTGTTTATCAATGAAATTTGTGTCTCTACACTGCCAAATGTTCGTGATAAAGCAAACTATTAGGTGGAGAGCTGGGATGCGCTCCGTGGAGTGTGTAGGAAGAGCTCAGTCATACTGCTGTTGATGTTTGGATCTAATAGCTGGGTGAGTGCGAATGTATTCGTTTCCTGAGAGTTTGAATTTTCTATGGACCATGGGTTGTGATTCATTTCTGGTAGGGCACAGGACAGTATATATCTTAAGTTTGCAGAGCTGCATAGTCTCTGATGCTACTCATCAACACTGCTGTTGTAAAGAAAAAGCATCCACGGATAACATATGAATAAATAGATATCTTTATGTTCCAATAAAACTTTATTTACAAAAACATGTGGGAGTTAGGTTTGACTGTGAATTTCACCACATACTGGTTTGCTGATACAGACATGCAAAAAAGAGTCACTGCTTAGATTATTTTGTTTTTCAAATGATTGTTAAAGCTAAAATGTTAGTGGGTGGAATCATTGATTCTGATTTAATTGAAACAATCATCACAGGATGTGTATTTTCACTTCCCAGAGGTTTAATGTCCTTAAGGAGAAATCAAAGGTAAGATGAGGTAAACTATGGTATAGATTCTCAAAGTCTCCCCATCCCCCAGGAAGCTTCTCTGACTCCACAAGAAAAGGAAGGAACAGAGCTCTTGTTTTTGAAACAAGGAAGGCACAGACTCCCCCTCCCTCCACAGTCATTCTCAAAGCCTGAGAACTGGGAGTAATAAATGGAGCACAGCCTGAAAATAGTGCACTAATGTTTAAGATTGTCATTCAGATCCCAAACCCAGCCACTGACATATTATTTGTAATGTGGACTTCCATTTAGTTTGCAAACCAGATTTCTCCCACATTGGCATGCAAGTGCTCAAAGAGATCCTATTCTGATTTAAAATAAATAAGAGACAGGGTCATGTAGCCAAAAGGGATAGCCCTGCTTGTGTTCCTAAGTGGCTGTGCAACACTTGCCCGCAACTTATCTGAACTGCAAGTGAATGGAACTAGGGACTTTTTGTTGCCAAACTTCACCACTCAGGGCATCTAGTCTCTGTCCCTCTTTCTGCAAGAATGTGGCTGATTGTTGATTTCATTAATTCACTTAGCAAACATTAACTGAACATCTACAGTCAGAAAGCACGTCTGGCACCTAGGGAGCCCAGGATAATAAGAATTAAATCTTGCATTTGATTTCCCAGTTGGAAAATGAACCTGATTTATAAAACATTTTAATAATAATTACAAAGTTTCAAGCAAGAAAGCTAGTGCAAATAGGTTTGCATTGCAGGTTTCATCATTGTTTAAAAAAGTAAAAACAAGCATACAAAAAAGAAAAAGAAGAACATTGCAAATAGATCATTCAGGATTGGCAAAGCCCAGACCTTAAACATAAATTTCTGATCCTGTGGCATAAGGTATCCAATGTATGTTCAAGTAAAACAAACAGACAAAAATCCAATAAAAATCAAAAGAAAAATTGCACATTCAATTCATAGCTCACATGTGAAAGGTAAGTCAATGAAATAATTGCAAAACATAAGTCACATAGTGCAGGATGGCGTCCCTTACATTCACTTCCAAGGAAAAGAAATTTTAATACAGTGCAGTGTGAAGAATAATTATTAGTTCAATGAATGGAAATAGCATGTCCAACTCAACAAATCTGCAACTTGTGGTATTTGAGGGACGAATTCTCGATATTAAGGAGTGTAAGGAGCATGGGAGGAGGAACAAAAGACCAGAAAGGAAGTTTAGAACTGGAGTGGATGTTCTCCTGGGTCAGCCTGCTAGGTGAGAGTTTAAGTTGTTAGCATTCCATAGCTGATAGGATGTTTAGGAAGATGGGTCTGGATCAGGGGAAAAGATTTGAGTGCAGATAGACTCAGCACACGAATTAAGAGGCACACCTCAGTGATGAAAGAACACACACACACACACTCGATGACACACATGAAAACACACACACCTATGCTCAGCTCACACTATACTTTTACTGTTTGAATTGAAAATAATTCCAGAGAAAATTCTCATCCAAGCTCTTTCACGAACAGATTACTTGCACTCACTGAAATGCCAAAGAACAATCTTGACTTCCTCTGAATTTCATTTGGGCTTCATCATGCCAAGAAGTAAACAAAATAGGTCTTAGTCATTGCCAACTGGAACAGGTGGAAATCAGTCCCATAGAACTGATTAAACTTAAGGTTTCTTTTTCCATAATGAACAAAAATTGAATAAAACATCTTCTAAATGTTAGCTATTCTTTTGCAGTGAGTGCTTTCTGATGAACCAAAATAATTTCTCAACCAATATGAGCTTGGGAAGAAACTGGACTGGAAATGCCACTCTGGTTCCTGGCTCCGTTTTAAGTTTTGAGAGCACCACACTGTGGCCCATCATTACCATCAACTGCATCACGATAGCATTTATCTTTTCTAAGGGCAAGCCTTTTCGAAAACCCATCTATACAAATTGTAAGTACATGAAGTTTAATTTTTTCTTTTTATTTTTTCTGTTCCTCCACCATTCCAGGAGCTGCAACTCACCAGTGAAGAAAAAACCAGTTGCCTTATCCCAGTATGATTACTGGGTGGAATGGTTACCAGTGTTAGAGCCAGGGGCAGAAACTTGCTTATTTTTAGTAAGCACCAGCATTGTATTCTTCAACAGTCACCTAAGTCCTGACAAGACATCAAGAGTCATTTTAAGCACAAACATAGGTGTCAAGCTATTTTGTAAAATGCTTTTAATTAATTCAAAGATAAATGCACCTCTTTGTAGCCTCATGATCTTGAGAAAGTTACCTTAACCTTTCTCAGCCCCTTTTCATTCTATGCAGAATAGAATTGTCATATGACCTCCAGTCCTGTGAGGGGAGCTAATGAGGCATTTCACATAAAGGGCCGGTATACTTGGGAGCTGGCACTTACAAAAGCATGCTCAAGACTTCTTGTTTCCCTCCCCAGTATATTCACTTCAGTGAAATAAAAACAAAATCAAGCAACAGCAAAATACAAAACCAGAGCAAAAACTCTTTGAAACAGCTATCAAGACCTTTAGGCAGGAAAACCAGAGAATGTGTCCTGGGGCAAAAGACTTGTGAGTTTGATGGTTGGGGAGTTATACCATTAGTGACTATGCCAGGTTCAAACAAGGAATGCTGGGAAAACCAGGATTTGGTCACTCTGTCTACCATGCAGTTGGATACAGTACTTGAAGATTATAAACAATGCCGTGAAAAATTATTTGTATAAAGAAATCACTTGGACATGATCTCTGGTTTCCATAGAGTAACCAAGGTCAATCATTTGGTGAAAGCTTTTGAATATGGTACAGTTTTTGCTTCACAATTGAAATTTCTTTCAGAAACTTCACACCAACTGTCATTCTTATCAGCTGTTTTTAAGAAGGGTGCTTCAAAACAACTTGTCACATATAAGACGTAAGAAGTACTGCCCTAATGTCAGGCATGGTGACTGATGCCTGTAGGTTCAGCCAGCTGGGAGGCCAAAGTAGGAGGGTCACAAGTTCAAGCCCAGCCCGGGGAACTTAGCAAGACTCTGTCTCAAAAATAAAATAGAAGCAAATAAATAAATGAGTTAATAAGAAATAAAAGGTCTGGGATATAACTATGTAGCAGAATGCACCTGGATTTGACCCACAATAATGCAATCAATCAATCAATCAAATAAAGAAAAATTTTGCTGGTCTGGTGAGACTTTTTAAAGATGGTATCTCAGTCAATTTTTATTTGCATTTTTGATTTTTATCTTCAGTGAAGATAAGCATGTTTTCATATTATTTGTCCTTTTGTGAATTGCCTTGTATAATGTTAATCTAGTTTTTACTTAGTTGCTTCTTTTCCTTATTTATATGAGCTGTTGATTATTCCTATGAGATTTTATTTCCCTTGCCAGGGTGCACAGAAAGTTTTAATGCTTTTAAAAATAGTTCATGGTATACTTTATGACAGGGATCAAATTTGTTATTCAACTAGTTTTTCCAGGAGATATTTTTTGGTTATTGAGTATTTAACATTTCTTTCAGTCACTTATTCCCCACCTGAGCATAATACTGACATAGGAGAAATACACTTCTTGCCTGCTGGGTGTCAGATGCATCAAGTTCATGTCCTCTGAAATGGAAGAATGAACTCCAAGGAACAATACATTTACAGTAGCAAAGATGTATTGAGAGACAGCTCTGAGAAACAGGAGGGGTCCAGAAAATGGGGTGCCAAAGAGGCCTATTCTCCAAGAATGTTTTACAGAGCAAAATCACGAGGTGGATAGGAAATCATGACCTGGCTACAATTTAGGCTGAACTATAATCAAACAATAAAATTACACATATAGCAGATCCTAAAATGAAGCAGGTCACGTGACAAGGGTAATGGAAAGAATAAAGGCTCTTTGGGGAAGGAATGGGTTTGGGTGTTCTGGTCACCCACCTGGGTGAATGCTGTTTATCCGGACTTTACTCGACAGGGTGATACCAGGTATAGTATAATCTCAAGTCATTGCTTATCCTTCAGGAAGGCAGGTTTGAAGCCTCGTCTTCAGCAGAGTCACGTCCAGCCACAGCTGTGACATGTTCACATCTTCAGCGCTGATTCTCTGAAGGACTTATCCCGGTCTGACTGTTAACTTCTATCTAACTTAGCTGTCTGCAGTCATTCCAGTTCCATCATTCCTACACTAACGTATTCCTATGCTTTTAAAATGTATATATTTTATATTATTAATATGGAAAGCCTATTGTTGGTCTACCACTATAGTTTAAAAAATTACAGTCTTACGTTTTATTTAATTATTGGTAAGATTTTTTACTCTTATTTATAACCATTCTCAGCATTTCTTACTTTTCTGTGTTTTTTTCCCCCAGATAAATTCTAAAATAAATTTTCAGATTTTTAAAAAGCTCCCTTTGGGATTTTAATACTTTGGGAAGAATTTCCATTCAGTAGTAAGAGATGTCTACCCATTTATTCATGCTTTTTAAAATATCTCCTGATAAATATATGCAATTTTCCCCATGTGGGACCCGTACATTTACTTAAGTAATTAACATTACTTGATGTTCAATGCTCTACATATGTTTAAATTGTGGATGCCTTTTCCCACTGTATTTTCTAACTCATGACTACGTAGGAGAGTATAATGTCATTTTCTGACTGAAACGATTTCTATACTTTTTCTATACCCTTGAATTCTGAGAATTCTGAGAAAGATAGTTTTAGTAATTGTAAGTAGTAATGTTCCATCATGCTTTTCAGAAGATAAAGTGCATATCTTAGTATCTAGTCCCAGAATTTCTAGAACAGTGCTAAGTAATTGTGAAGTGAGCATAATTCTGCTTCACAATAAAAAGACCTCAAGGATTCTTCACTTGTAAGTCTGATTTTAAGAATGGTGCCTGTGTCAGGTAATGAAACTCACTTCTAGTTCAGTTAATTAAGAATGTATTTTATTGGAGATATAGTTCATGGAATAGCTTCTCATCTCCTGAGATGATTATGCTTTCCTCTCTATTGCTTTATTACTAGGATGTGTTATATTTTCAAACTTATCCTAAAATCATCTTTAGATTCATGGGCAAATCTTATACATTTTTGGATTATACCTTAACTAAATTGAATTTTAGAGGTTTTTAAAGTCTACATTTCATATAAGATTACCCTAAAGCTTTTTGTGTAGGGTTTTGTTACATCTGGGCAATACATTTGAAAATCTTTCGGCTTTTTTTTCCGTTATAAATATGGGATAGGTCAGAATCTTCTTTTCATTGACAGTTTTCAAGAAGGCACTAATAAAATAATCTAGCTTCAAATTTTTCATTTGGAAGAACTTTTTAATTCTTACGTTATCCTCTCTTCTGTTTTGTTTTTAAGTTATACTTTTGGCCACACAATGTCAGTGCACTGATATTATCAAACCTAACCATACAGCTTTGAATGCTATTTTCTTATAGTTTTAAATCTTTTTTACAACTCAATGTCTCCTCACCTTAAGGATATTTATATATGTTGTTTTTCATTTATTTTCACCTAAAATATAAGTTTTACTGGTCCTTTTAAAATTACTACCTCTCAGATTTAATAATTCTGTATGTTTCCTATTTTCTAGTTTTATTTTGCTTTTCCTTGAGTATTTTCAATGTCTAAGTCAACTTTATAATTCATGTATTTCTTTCATTATTACAAAATTAGAAAAGTATCTAAGGCCAATGGTTTCCATATATCTCTAATTGTGATGTAAATTCTTTCATCCGGTAGTTATCAGAATCATGATTCTTAGTTGTTAACAGAGTGGGGACTTTGTTTTAACTTTCTTACTTTTATGTGTATGTGAGATAGAGTCTCATTATATAGTTCAGGCTGACCTGGAACTCATTATGTAGCTCAGGCTGGCCTCGAACTTGCGGTGATCCTCCTGCCTCAGCCTTTATTGTTTGTTTGTTTGTTGAGACAGGGTCTCGCTATATAGTTCAGGCCAGTCTTGAAGTCACAACATAGCCAAGGCTGATCTCAAACTCATGGTGATCTTCCTTCCTTAGCCTCCCAAATGCAGGATTACAGGCGTGCAACACCGCACCTAACTCCTATTATTTTTCTTAATAACCCACAAGTACATGTTTGATTTCCTTTTTGATTCAACAGATTTTCAAAAGTTTCTTTACTTGAATATTAGAAGGCCTTTTTCATTTTAACTTAGCCAATCATATCTATTTTTATTGTCATGATTAGACGATCTAGCCTCTGAAATTTGTTTTGCAAGTGTTTACACTCATGGGATTAATTTTTTCTTTTCTTTTTTGTTTTTGAGACAGCATCTCACTATGTAGCTCAGGTTGGCCTCGAACTTGCAGTGATTCTGCTGCCTCTGCCTCCTGAGTGCTGTGATTACGGGTGTATGCCACTGTGCCCAGCTCATGGCATTAATTCTGAACCCTCATTTTGTAAAGAAATCATACATTTAGAAAAGTAGGCCCCTATTTCTAAGTTAGAAATGTATAGCTTTAGGGCTGGGAATTTAGCTCAGTGGCTCAAACGCTTACCTGGTAAGGACAAGGTCATGAGCTTGATCCTGGCACCAAAAAAAAAAAAAAAAAAAAAAGTATAGTTTTTATATTAAATCAGTTTCAGCAATTATATTTTTCAAATTCTCTCTGTTCTTGCTGAATTATTTTGGCAGAGCTGTTTTGTTGAAGGATTTAAAAGCATGTGAAGTCTCCTTCTAGTTTTCATAGAAATATCCTGAATTTCTCACCATTTTCTTAAATGTAGATATGTTTGAAAATACCCTTGGTGCTTGTCAAAACAAATTAAGATTTTGATTTACATTTTAAACTTAATTTCTTAGTCCCTATTTTAAATTGAAGATATACTTTGTAAGGAGAGCCTCGTCACCAGCTGGTACTTTAACAGTGGCTGGAAAATACTCTTACATACACAGGGTGAATTAGAGTAGCTGTATCATAGGAACTAAAAGGCTGCAAGGAAACGGAATCCTCTTGCTCAACGTAGCTGAGACTCCTAAGTGAGAAAGGCTTACAAACAAATACTCTAACAAGCATTACCAAACAATTCATACATCTCAGGATCAGAATAAAAAATTTTTGGAACTTCTAAGATGCAGTACACAAAGCATTTTATTTTTAACTAGCAGGAAAAAACCTTTGTCGTCCTTATCAGCATTTGGCAGAAGCTCAACTTTGTGATGACAAGATATAGAAAAGGCACAGAGTTATATATTTTATTTGTTTTTTACTGAAGCAAGTGTGAATGATCATAGACACTTTTCTTATGTGAAAGAAGGTCCTATTGGCTTGCACAGAATTTGTCTTCCCAAGTTCATTGATTGAGAGAGCTCATTCTTCCTGGTTTGCGTAATGACAGGGCCTGACTGATGTGAAGAAGAGAGCTGGCTTCACAGATCCCTCGACTAAGGACAGGCGGTGCACAAAGCACTCAGGCCAGTTGCTAGTGAGGGCCAGAGCTCAAGCAAGATGCACATTCCCAGCTTCTGGGTCCTTGGGACTTTCAAACAAAGTGAAATAAACAAAAGAGCCACACAGCCATCTGATGGGATTTTCTTTTTGCCCTGCTGGTCAGGTTGCTTTATTTTAGGAACTCTATTTCCACTTCTCTCCTCTGCCTCACATCTGTTCCAGACAGGCCTGGCCATTCATTCCTCTGAGGGGTGCTGCACCAGGCCCTGGATGCACTTTGAGGGTGGCCACAGGTGCCCCAAAGGTGGAAACAAAACTCTGGCAGTTTCAGAAACCAGGACCTGCTGCAGTGAAGCAGTTACCTTCAATTTCTGATCGGTATAGGTATGGAATCGGGGCAGAGAAAGCACTGGTAGATCACTGACGCTGGAATAAAAGAGGTTGAAAAAGTATCACAGAAAACCTAGTGGTTGACTGTTTTCCCTTATAACTTATGAGGATTGCAAGAAGCATCTACATCACAGTCATGATGATTAAATTCCAGTGTTTTGGCCTGAAGGTGATAATCTTATCAAAAATATTTCTAAGGTATCATTTACAAAATGCTTTGCTGGAAGCTGTGGCAGAGAAGTAGGAGGACTTGTGAGGGTAAGAGCAGCGATTTGGGCACAGCACATCCTAGAAAGTTTATGTCTCCAAGGTAAAGCGACGTGGGCAGCTTGGAAAGAAGGAACCCAGCAAATAGACGCGATAGCATCTCACTGTTTCAAGGCAGAGTCCCTGAGACCCAAATACAAAGCCATTCTCAAGTGGTGCCGACCTAGCTGATAGACAAATTAAGGTCATGCAATGCGAATATGATACATACCATATAAATATAAACTTTGTAAAGATGGAGTAGGAAGTCTGTAAAACAAGGTGATTATTTGGACCAGGCTTAGTAAGTGGGAAAAAATTGGACAGGAAAGACAGTGTCTACTCAGAGTGTTTGAGAGCAAGGGTACAGAAGTTGAATTGAGTCTCTGTGGGTATGGTGGTTTAATTTTCCTGTTACACACAGGAAGAACATTTAGAGAAGAGTCTAGAAAGAACCAGATGGTGGAAGATCTAGAGTGTCAATCATAGCCTCTTACTTTGTTCTCTTGACAAGGCATGAGATGCAGAGGACTGACTGTCCCATCCATTCACAAAGCACAAGATAGGTTCTGGTAACAGACTGAAGTCTTTCTGGGGATCAGTCAGGTGGTCATCATAGGATGTCCCAGTCCCTGAACTCCTCAGGGAGATAACTCCCTTATGGAAGTTACTACAAGGCATGTCTTGAACAGACTTCTACAGTCAGCCTTAAAAGGAAAGATTTTAAGGTATCACCTTCATTTTATAAACATTAGAACATATTTCAAAACATATGAAGATACATTAAAACATCTGAAGTTATATTCAATATTTTCCCAACAGAGATAATTGATTCTTCAATGTATGCCAAATTATATGAAACATTCTCTTAGCATCTAAAAGTGATATTTGATATTTTTTCAGATATGTTTTCATTTCTGCTGACATCTGCCTTGGGCCTCACGATTTTCATTCTGTTTTCTGATATTCAAGATATATACCAAGGGATGGAGGTAAGTGGTATTTGTTTGTACCCCTGGTATGGTTTCATATGCACTGGATCAGATTCCTATTTTAATTTGCAAGTCAATCATCACCATCATCTCCCTGATGACTATTTTTGCATATATTCAATCTTTGGCAACTAAATGTTTTTTAAGATATTTTAATGTTTCTTTTTAGTTCTTTTATTTTTTTATCAGCATGATTGTGAGACATAATAATCACATTCACCTTGGGGAATTGGTGTGTGTACTGTACATGTCACCCCTTGATCATTTTATTTCCCCTCTCTTCCTTTCTCTTTCCCAGTTTCTCGAGGTCTGTTTCCCATCTCTAAGTCTACCTTTCTATTTCCTGTTTCCCATCATCTCACTTTTTAAAAAAATTTTATTTAAGGAGAAAAAGAAAAAAAAACACAGAAAAAGGGTACAAGTTATACAGAATTTCAAAAAAAAAATAAACAGTAGGAAATCACTAGTTAGTAGACCACATATTGTCATCTTAGAAATAGCTGTTCAAGTTACAAAATTAAAGCACATAAAGTGGACATTCAAACAGTGAGACTGCAAACAGCTCTGTTCAATGATCCAACAAAAACTCATTAATATGGTTATCTATCTTATATGCTTAAATATACATGCAGTTATATCCTTTAGAGGACTTTCTTTTTCTCTCTTTTTTACAATGACAATTACACATTTTGGGCTTTATTACTCCCACAGTTCTTATTACTTTTTTGGAAGAGATAAAACCAAATGTGACATAACAAAACAGAGTCAGTCAAATCAAAAGGATGGCCATAGTACATGATGTAAAAACAGAATACAAAGTGGTCAACAATGGTTACCATAATGCCTCTTGCCATCTTAAAAAGAATTGCCTATATCATCAGTTATAATAAAATTGAACAAAACAGTAAAGAACAAAACCAATAAAATTAAAACATTGGCAACATTACAGGACTTCAAAAGAAGATAATAGTCAAACCAGAATGGGCGTCATAGTGAATCTTATTGTCTTCACAGTTGCTGCCTATACTTTCAAACTTGGTACTATCAACCAAAACAGAATAGAGTAAAATCAGTCAAAACAAGATGGTGAGAGCAATACAGGGTTTCAAATCAAGTTAATAGGAAATCAAAGTGGGTTCCTATAATATATCCTGCTATTTTTATTTATTTTTTCCCTTAATTAAAAAGATAAAAATAAAAAAATAATAAAAAGGAGATTGAGATAAAAGAGCACATAACAACAAAACAGCACAAATTAGAACATAACTATTTAAGCAACATAGTGTTTCACCACAAGATATACTGACATAAAAGTAGTTACCATAGTGTCTCTTTCCTTGAAATCTTTGAGTATAACTTGGTATACTGTAGCATCAAACATATCAAGACAATGTAAAACCATTCAAGAGAATGATAGTATTACAGGGTATTTAGAACCAACTAACAGAAAATGAACAGTGGTTTCTGTATTATCCCCTTGCCTATAAAAGTTTTTGTTTATATTATCACATATAATAAAATCCAATAAGATACAACATGTTAAGACTGATGGAGACAGAAGAACAAAAGCTTGATGGGACTTCAAAACAAGATGGTATTAAATCAGCACTAGCTATTATGATGTCTTGTTTTCTCCAAAATAGCTGTTCCTACCATCCAACATCCTCTGCCTCATTTCTGTTGAGCTCTTTTTCTGTCATTAGTTGTCAGTTTGTCTTCTTCATTTCACTTTCTGCTCCATTCATTGTGGCCTCTCTGCCACTGTTTCTGGAATCTTGGTATTTTTCTCTTTTAGAATGTCCTGCAGTATTCTCTGTAGAGTTGAATTGGTGGTTGCAAATTCTCCTAATTCCTCTTTATCCTGGCAGCACCTTGTTTCTCCATTAATTTCTAGGGACAGTTGTGCAAGATATATCAATCTTGGCTGGAAGTTATTGTCTTTCAAAGCTTGAATTATTTTATCCCACGCTCTTCGTGATTTGATGGTTTGTGCTGAGAAGTCTGCGGTAATTCTGATGGGTGTTCCCTTGTAAGTGATCTGTTTCTTGTCTCTGACAGCTTTTAATATTCTGTTCTTATATTGGATTTCTGGAATTTTGATTATTATATGCCTGGGTGTAGTTCTGTTTGGGTTGTAGGTGGCTGGGGTCCCATATGCCTCAGAGATCTGAGTATGTTTGCCTTCTCCCTTATTAGGGAAGTTCTCCTTGATTATTTCTTTGGATAGTCTTTGCAGTTCATTTGTTTGTATCCCTGCTTCTTCCTTTACATTCTTAATTCTTAAGTTATAGGTCCTCTTATCATCTTCTAGCCTTTGTATTGTTGCTGCTTGTCATTTTTAAGAAGTTTTTTTCTTTCATGCTCCCACCTTACAAATCTGTCCTTTAGTTCAGAAAATTTATCCTTAGTTTCTTTCAAGCTGTTATGCCAGCTTTCAATAGAGTTTTTAGTTTCCTGGTAATTTCTTTGAACCTGCTTCATGTATTCTACATTTTCTCTATTTTCTCCACAAAACAATTCTGCCATCATTTCTGTTCTTCCATTCCATCATCTGATCTTTCTTGGGAGGTGCTTAGCATTTCTTTAAATACTCTACTTATATCCTGCTTTACTGGGTTAAATACTTCACTCTTGAACTCATCTCTGAGGTCCCGGAGATATCACTTTATGTCTATTGGTGCTGGGCCTGATATTGCATGTTTTCTGTCCTCATTCTCCTTTGCATTTACATTTCCTGGATCACTGTTCTCAGGATTGGGGACTGAGGACCCTTTCTTTTTTTAAAATTTTATTTAAAAGGAAAAAGAGAAAAAACAAAACAAAACAAAGCGGTGTACGGGTACAAGTAATACAGAACTTAAAAAAAAAACAGTAAGAAATCACCAGTTAATAGATTGCACATTATCATCTTAGAGATAGTTGCTCAAGTCACAGTATCAAAGCATACAAACTGAACATTCAAACAGAGAAACTGCAAACAGTTGTGTTCAATGATCCAACCAAAAACATTAATGTGGTCAGCTATTTAACACCCCTAAACACACTTGCAGTTGTATCCTTTAGAGCACTTTTTTTCCCTCTCTTTTTTACAACAAAATTTACACATTTTGGGTTTTATTACTCCATACTTCTTATTACTTTTTTTTGGAAGAGAATAAAGTCAAATATGGCAAAACAAAGCTGTCAGTTAAAACCAAGGATAGACATAGTACATGATGTAAAAACAGAGTACAGGGTTATCAACAATGGTTACCATAATGCCTCTTGTTTCCTTAAAAAGAATTGTCTATCTTATCAGTTATAATAAAATTGAACAAAACAGTAGAGAACAAGACCAATAAAACTTAAACATTGTAAACATTACAGGACTTCCAAAGGAGATAATAGTCAAACCAGAATGGGCATCTTAGTGAATCTTATTGCCTTCAAAGTAGTTGCCTATACCCTCAAACTTGATACTATCATACAGAATGGAACAGAGTCTAATCAGTCAAAACAAGATCGTGGGAGTATCACAGGACCTCAAAACAAGTTAATAGGAAATCAAAAAAAGTTACTATAATATATTCTGCTAATTTTTAAAATTTTTCCCCTTAATTAAAAAAACCATAAAAAATAACTAAATAGTTTTTTAATGAATAAGGGAGAGATCGAGATAAAAGAAGACATAACAACATAACAATACAGGTCAAAGTATGACTGTTGCAGCAACCTAGTGCTTCACCACCAAATGACCCAACTTAATAGTAGTTACCATAGTGTCTGTCTTTTTCCTTGAAATATTTGAATAAAACTTCATATACTATAGCTTCAAATATTTCCATATCAAGAAGCCCAGAATAAAGCCTTTCCAATTAATAAGTGAAAACTTTATAAGGCTTCAAGGCCACATAATGGGGAATCATGATTACCACATACTTTTATATATTTGAATCATTACTTACATTAGGGAAACTATTCGGTATTCACACATGCAAGATTGATTTATTTCACTTATGAGTATGGTCTCAAGCTGCGCCCATTTATTGATAAATATCTCAATGTGATCCTTCTTTATAGCTGAGTAATATTCCATTGTATAGAAATACCACAACTTTTTTATCCATTCCTCGGTTGATGGATACTTGGGTTGTTTCCAAGATCTGGCGATTACAAATTGTGCTGCTATAAACATAGGTGCACATATATCACTGTGGTATGATGCTTTCAGTTCTTCTGGGAATATGCCTAGAAGTGGAATAGCTGGAATAAATGGGATTTCCAATCCCAGCTTTTTGCGCAATCTCCAGACTGATCCCACAAAGGTTGTACCAGTCTACACTCCCACCAACAGTGTAGGAGAGTTCCTTTTTCCCCACAGCCTCTCCAGCATTTGTTGTTGTTGGTTTTCTTGATCCTGGCCATTTTTTCGGGAGTGAGATGGTACCTCAGTGTGGTTTTAATTTGCATTTCTCTAAGGACCAATGATGATGAACATTTTTTCATGTATTTATTTGCCACTTGTATTTCTTCATCTGAGAAGTGCATATTCATCTCAGATGCCCATTTTTGGATTGGATCTTTGAATTTTTGGATCTGAGTTTTTTAATTCTTTATATGTTTTAGACAAGAGTCCCTTGTTTGACAGAGAGTTCACTAAAATCTTTTCCCAGTTTGTGGGTTTTCTTTTCACTATGCTGGAGATTTCTTTTGACATGCAGAAACTTTTTAATAAGAAGTGGTCCCAGTTATTGATTCTGGGAAGTATTTCCCATGTGGTTTGAGTCCTATTCATGAATTCTCTACCTACTCCTATGTCTTCAAGGTTTCTACCCAATTTGTCTTCCAATAGATTTAGTGTTTCTGTTTTAATATTAAGATCTTTGATCCATTTAGATTTTAATTTAGTACATGGTGATAGGCATGGGTCTAGCTTTAGTTTTCAGCAAATGGAGAGCCAGTTTTTCTAGCACCATTTATTAAAGAGACTGTTGTTCTTCCAGTGAACTTGCTTGGCTCCT